TACCGTATTTTCTCGATTAATCCCCTGGGCAATTATTTTTTCAGCCCTTCCTTGGCATGGGGAATTAATCGAGAGGAGGGGAATTATTCGAGTTTTGGCACTTGAACGTGCAGTAGGGTATTTGAGGGTGGGGAATTATTGTTTCAACCAAACTTTAGCATGGGGAATTAATCGAGAGGGAGAGAGTTATTCGAGGAGGGGAATTAATCGAAAAAATACGGTAACCTCAAAACATTTCACAATTTGTTTGAAACCCCCAAAAAATCCAAGAAAGCTACGCATTATTTTATTTCTTTATTTCAATGTTACTGAAGTAAAAAAAAAATTTTTTTTTATTTTTGGGTATTTTCCTTTTGTTTTTTATTTGCTAGTAATTAGGGTTGCCGTCTTCGAGTTGGGCCGACGGTCGAGTATGCAGTAGAGATCGGAAATTTTGAAAAGCCTGGGCCTGTTCCTGGGTTCCAGGTTTGATTTATTGACCTGGGCCGGATCCTGGGCCTGTAGTACAGGAAAAACCCATGAAGGTCAAAAATTGCCTGGGCCTGGACTCTGGGTACAGGAAAAACCCAGGCCTTGGTCCAGACCCAGGCCGATCTCTAGTACTCAGGGCTCTTGTCCAGTTTATGCGTCCAATAGCACCTTTACACGTTCGAACAACCTTTTATACGTCCAATGAACTACATTTTGATGTCATTTATGTTTATCACTCTAAATGAGATTTGACTGGGATTTACATATGTACTAATATAGAATTTTTATAAGAAAAAGATTGTTTGTTTCTAAAAATTTGTTTGTTTGTTTCACCCAAAACTTCCTTTAAAAAGGTTGCCACATTCAAAAAAACGTAAACAAAATTTTTAAAAATCGTAAACATAATTTTAAAAAAAAGTAAAACAGGTGTCCACAAAATCCCTTAAACTTGTTTAACACACAAAGCATCCGTTTTTTCTTAATTTAATTTTTGTCATATCTTTGAACTTGGTTTGAAAAAGCTGTCATTTTTTATCTCGATTTTATTCTTAAATTATAAAGGTTTTATTTTTAAACATTTCTCAATTTATTTAAATTTTTTTGGATTCTAGCTGGGATACTCGGTTACCGTATTATTACCATGGGTAATAATTGTGTTAAACTCTCACTAGAGATGGTAATTAATCAAGTGCGGTAATTTATTCGAATTTTGAAATTTCAACCTACAATAAGTGGCATTTGGGAAAGGGAAGAGTAAGGGGCAAAGTATGAGGCACTTAATTGAGAGATTAATAAGTTGAAAGGATGTATGAAGGTAATAATAGGTATAACTAATACCTAATTGAGTGCCCCCACTCCATTTGAATGCCCCCTTTAATAAAATGCCTCTTTTGAAGGTGATTGAAAAATAGAATGCCCGGTCATTCCGTTAGAAGAAACTACGGTATATGTATTAAATGTACCTTGTTTCTTAACTACCCCTAAACCCTACATTTTTTTAGGTTTGGAATGTAAAAAATATATTCTGGGAAGGCTTTCATTGAATCGCCACAATGCCACAACTTCTAAAAATTTCTATTATTTTTGTATTACCTGTGTTTCTCAACTTTGTTACAAGCGGTAGTAGCGTTTTGCGTCCAAAACGAGGGGTAAGAAATTACTAGGGGCGTAATTATTTTTCTTAGTGTAGTCTAAATTTTCCCATAGTTTAGTCTGAACAATATAGCTGGATAACTGAGAGTGAATCGACTGAATCCGACGAAGAGATGACTCCCTCTACAATCTCTACCGATGATTTTGTTTTCGTAGGTGACATGGTTTTCGAAAAGAAAAACATAGAAGATGAAGACTCGGAGGAGGAAGGCGTGCAAAAAAGCGTGATTAAAGATAAAAGCATGTAAAATTTTCGATAATTAAATTAGCATTTTTATATCTTGAATATGGGAAGACAAAATATGGGACATGGGAGACATCTTAATTATGGGGGACAAATAATATGGGGGACAAAAGTGGGGACTTATGGGGGATTTTTGTCCTCCTTAAGAGGACTTTTGTCCCCTTGTCCCCCTTAAGGTCAGAATCGGGTCCAGTTTCAGATGTCCAAAGGTTTCCATGATCTGCCAAACCTACCAAAGACCCTACTCTACTGAACACAGTAGGTCTCTCTCTCTCACAGTAGTCTAACACAGTTTCTTACCCAATGGACAACATCCAACGGAACCCTAATGAACATTTGTTAGCGAAGAAGATTTCTAAAATACTAGAAAACTACACAATTTTGTTAAGGATTTGGCCTAATAAGCAGATGCCTATACATTTTCACTCATCAGTTGGAAGAAGAGCTAGAAAAGCTGTCCAAACAGCTATCAACATTTTAGCAGACGCAACATGCATTTCTTTCCCAAAATACGATCCAAATCTCCACAAAAATTATATGACAATAAAATCTAGCGAAAACGGTTGCTGGACGTTTGTAGGCTTCAAAGATACGCAGGAGCATAACCAAATTAACTTAGCATCTGGTGTTGCCTTATGTGAATCTTCACCTGCTGCCATACATGAAATAATGCACAGTCTTGGAGTATATCATGAACAGAATAGGTATATCTCTACCGAAACGGTTACCTAATACAGAAGGACCTCCTCTATCCCTTAGGGCTGAGAATTTTTCTTCTCATACCCCTTAATGAGGTGTACTTTAAATATGTGTCGCTTAGATAGCTCCGGCACGATGACCGATATATCTTAGATACATAGAATTGTAGATGTTTATCGGCTGTAAAGCTGTACAGGGTTGCTCCTTAACAACGTCACGACTAAATTTTACCGATTTAGGTATGATCGTGATGAATACATTGAAGTTCTGTTTGATAATCTGATGCCTAACGTTGTTTCACAGTATCAAAAACAAAGCAAAGCGACTTTGGAGACTTATGGAGAACCCTATGATTATGGCTCAATTATGCATTATCAAGTGCGCGCAGGAACGAAGAATGGGTTACCTGGTTTTCGAGTACTTCGGCAGTATGATGAGAACGCTATTGGTAATGCGAGATTCCCCAGCCTTATAGATCTGCGTAAGCTTAACAAGCTATACGGATGCTCTCAAACCGACATTGGCGATGTGAGGTAAAGTTGAATGGGTACAGCTCGCGAACTAACGTTCTCCAAAGTCCGATAAGGGATTTTTGCTGTAGGACCAGACCATCAAAAACCATCAGACTTAGTATGATATTAGGCAGGGGAAGCTGCCCTTGCTTAGCGATACCCCCAACAGTCCAAATTGATATACAGGATGTACCTTAAAATTTCCTCACTCAAAAATTTCATCGCTTTTTTCCAGGTCTGGTGAGGATATCCCTAACACTCCACCACCACCACCAATACGTCCAACTAGCTATGATGATAACAATGGAGAAGGTAACACTAGGTGTAACGATGAATGTTGCTGTACCTGTAAATGCAAAGGGCATATCTGTCAATGCAATTGTCCTTGTAGTTGCTATCCTCGTGGAAGTAAAAACACGTGTGATTGTACTTGCCCAGAAAAATTTATCCCAACTCTTTTTAATTATCGAGTAGTTGCACAGAATCAAGAAGAGGAGGAAGAGGAAATAAATTGAAATACAAATAAAGTTGAAATTTTTGTTATTTTTTATTTTTATTTTGCCAATAAGCATAAGCATTTTATTTGTAATTATTAGAGCTCGAGGCCAAGACTGAACTCAAAAACCAAATAACCCTCAAGAGAGTTTTGATTTAAGGCCCAAGACCAAGTCTTGCACAGCTCTAGTAATTGGGAGTGATTCTCCTCGACGAGTCACTAAATCAGGGCTGCGTATGATGAGGATAATTTCCAATGTCTTTAAATGTTCTCCTCAAATATTGTGCTAAAATTTTTTCCTAGAATTTAAACAAAATTTAGATAGGGCAAAAAAAAATTTTTTTGCCCTATCATTAATCAAAATCATCTCGAAACGAACCCAAAAATATAAAAAAAATGTAAAAAAAGAAAATAACAACAGCTGCCCTAGACCAAAAGTCAAGATCTATATTACCATTGTTGCCTTTTACTAATATAAAAATTAAAAAAAAATTGTTTGTTCCAAAAATTTATTTGTTTATTCACTCAAAACGTTCTTAATGATCATGTAAATTGAAATAAAATTGTAAACAAACATTTAAAAAGTTGTAAACAAAATTTTAAAAAAAGTTAAAGTAAAACAGGTGTCCACAAAATCCTTTAAACTACCTCCTAGTTTAAAATACATCATTAGTTTTTTCTTAATTCAATTTATTATTTTTATCATATCTTTGAAATTAAGTTAAAAAAGATGACATTTTTTATATTGATTTTGGGCCTAAATTTTAGGCCTAAATTTTAAAGTTTCTCCAAATTTATTTGAAAATATTTTTTGGAATTTTAGCTAAGATGTTTTTTAAATTAAGTTTAAAAATTTAAAAAAATATTACCTTAATTTTACCGTATTTTTATGAATACTTAACCTGGGTATCGTCCGAAAATTCCTTAACCTTTCCCTATGACCTCTCAATATAAGGCCTCTTTGGGGGTGATTGGAAAGTAGATTGTCCGTTGTCCTTATAGGGTATAATTAATCGAGGAAGGGTGTTTATTCGAGTTTTGAAATTTGAACGTTTGTTAGGGCATTTGAAGGAGGGTAATTATTTTTAAAGCCTCTGGCTGGAGAGTAATTAATTATAAGGTTGTAATCATTTTTGAGAGGGTAATAATCCGAATAAACGGTATTACCTCTAATTGAATCCCACCCTCTATTTGAATACCTTGGAGTGATTGAGTGCATTCAAATACCTTTGGAGGTGACAATCACCTCCATGCCTTTGGACCTCCATGCCTTTTGAGGTGATTGAAAAATAAAATGCCCGGGCATTCGATTAGAAGGAAATACGGTGTATGTATTAAAAGTCTCTTGTTTCTTAACTACCCCTAAAACCAAAATTTTTTAGGTTTGGAATGTAAAAAATATATTTTTGGGAAGGCTTTCATTAGATCGCCACAATGCTACAACCTTTGCTAATTTTTATTATTCTTGCTTTACTAGTGTCCATCAATTTTGTTACAGGCGGTACTTTGCGTTCAAAATCACGGGTAAAAATTTTATTTGGTTCAAGCTTCAGACCAAAATTTAGTCTGAACGAAATAGCTGGATAACTGAGGACGCAATAACTGAGGATGAATCGACTGACTATGAAGAAGAGCTGACTCTATCCGATCTCTTTTCTGATAATGAGTTTGAGTTCGTAGGTGATATGATAATTGAAAAGAAAAACGTGGAAGTTGAATCCTCGGAGGAGGAAGGTGTGCAAAAAAGTGTGGTTAAAAATATGAGCAGGTAAACTTTCGATAATTAGATCAACACTCATCCCTGGTAGTAAATCCGAGATCTCTGAAGTTTTTCCTTTTAACTTGAGATAGTTCCGATTTTCGACGGCTTGATGTTCCGTGACCTGTAGAGCTTTTTCCACTGGAAAATGTTGTAGAAAATGTTGTGGGAAAAGTTCAGTGAGTTTCCGTTTGAGGTTTTTCTGGTTTAAAACCCTCCGAAGGAACCCCACTGAACATTCGTTAGCGTAGGAGATACATAGTAAAGAATAGACAGCTACGCATTTTTAGGTACTTGTGTAGTTTCCCGCCCATATGCCCCGCCCTCTTTTTCTTCCATCTTCCCATTTTAGTTAAGAATTTGGCCTAAAGCCTATACGTTTCCACAAATTACTGAGCATTCATTAGAGTAGGAAGTGATCACTAAAGGACTATAAAGCTATACAATTTTTAAGGATTTGGCCTAATAACCAGGTGCCTATAAAATTCCACTCATCATTAGGAAGAAAAGCTAGAAGATCTATTCAATCAGCTGTCAATATTTTAGAAGATGCAACATGCATTTCTTTCCCAAAATACAACCCAAATCGACACAAAAATTATGTTATAATAAAATCAACAAAGAAAGATTGCAAGTCGACTGTTGGTTACGTGGATAAACCGGGACGTAACATAATCAACCTCGAATCTAAAACCCATTGTGAAGAGCCTAATACTGTAATCCATGAAATAATGCACTGTCTTGGAGTATCTCATGAACAAATGAGGTGATTATTTAATATAGAGTACCTCCTTTATAATACCTCCTTATACTCGTGGGGCTGAGAATACCTTACAAGGTGAGGTTGCGAGGTGCCCGACCTAAAACGGTCAGACCGGGCTCATTCGAGCACAATCTCTTTCTAGCAAGGATTTTGAGCTGTTTTTGCCCGTTTTTTGATCTGGCCAAGATATGGCCCTCCACACAATAGCCGATCTGTCCTAGATATGGCCCTCTACACGATTCCTAGTACTGGCGTCAGTATTACATATAATTAAACCCTCCTAATGGGCTGTACTATTTCAGAGGGCAATACTATTCTAGGAAAGACGGTATCTTACCTTAAACTATATATTGGTGTATCAATGAGTATGGCTGTATTGGGTTGCTCCTTAACAACTCATGCCTGAATTGTACTGTTTCAGGTATGATCGTGACGAATACATTGAAGTTCTGTATGACAATCTTGAGTCTGACGCCGTTTCACAATATGCTAAACAAAGTAGAAAAGATTTGGAGACATATGGAGAACCCTATGATTATGGCTCGATTATGCATTATCAAGTGCATGCAGGATCTAAGAATGGTCAACCTGCTTTTCGAGTACTTAGGCAATATGATGAGGCCTATATTGGTAACGCGAGAATTCCCAGCCTTATAGACTTAAGCAAGCTCAACAAGCTCTATGGCTGCCCACAACCCGAGACAGTCGATTCGAGGTAGCTTTGAAGGGGTACAGTGTTGGGCGAAGAGCTCTTTAAGACTTAAAAATATCGGCTTTTTCTTTTCAGTTCTGGTGAGATTAACGATCCACGACCGCAAAAACGCCCACCGCCGCATCACGTGCACGATGACGATTGTACTTGTGAAGATTCTTAACGGCCCGTTAATTTTTGTTCCACCCTTTTTCAACTATCGAGTTGTTGCACAAATCGTTAAGCGAAAATAAATTGAAATTTTATGTGTTAATTTTTATTTTTGCCTTATACATTAAGTATTTTATTTCTATTTTCCATTAAATGATTCAAAAAAAAATTTTTATGCTGTTTGTCTTATGATGAGTTATATTTTTATTTGAACCGATAGGAAAAGTGTAATGGAAGGTTGTTGGAAATTCTAAATACCCTAATATTCATCCCTAATACCTCTAATACCTCTAATCTTCATTATGAAAAGTTCTAATTTCTTCAAACTTTTCTCCACGACCCCTCTTCCCTCCAAGGCATTTCCCCAAGCTATTATTTATTTTAGAACTATTCGAAATTTCGTTTCGCGTTTCGATTTCGTCTTTATTTTTTCTGTATGAAGTTTCGTTAACGTTTTCTAGGATAAATTAAAAGTCTAGCAAAGGAAGCCACAAATTAATTTGTTTAGACAAGTAATTAGTTAAATAGCCATGTTCCCTTCGCACTACATGTAGTCGGTAAGGAACATAATTTTTAATTAATTAGCTAATTTAATTAAAAATAAAATTAGTATAAAATAAATTATTGATAAATATCCTCCCTTTTTACACTTTTAATTTGTCCATTCAGCCGTTAGAAAAAAATTCAAGAAATATTCTAAAGGCCGTCAAAGATTTATTTATTTATCTCCATTAATCTCTCTCTCGCCTTATTTGTCCAGCAATTATATTTAATTATTTAATGGTCAAAACAAAAAAAAGTACACTTTTCTTATTCAATTATTGCCTTCCTCCCCTTCCTTTCTATAAAACTAAAATAAAAATTCTCGCCGATTCCCGCGGTGATTTTCAATTTGCTTGGTAAACCCTTCCCTAAATGTTCTTTTTAAACGTTGGTAAGCATTTATTGGGAAATCAAATGCTCAAATCTTGAAGGAAATGGGAATGGGTTTTTATTTTTATTTGTTTCTGACTATATTTTTTCTCCTTTTTTATTATTGGGCCAACTCATAAAATAAAAAAGTGCATTATATACGTGGTTCAGGGATAGGCACGTATTTTAAAAAGAGGTAGATGGAAGAGCAAAAAGAAGGAAACAGAAGTCCCCTTCCTAATAGGAAGGGGACTTCTTATAGAACCCGTCCAGCCTATAAGGAGTACACTCCGCCACATAATTATATGAGCACCCCCAAAAACCACATTTTACCGTATTTATATGTCGAAATATTTTTTAACCTTAATATTAGTAATGGGCTAAAATCACCATAGAAAAAAGGAAATCTGAAAATAGTTTCATGGGAAATTTTTTTTATTTTTCAATTTTTGTACCGCCACATAATAGGCTACTTTCCCGAAAACGTAAATAGGTACTTTTAGGTTCTCTAGAGACTACAAGTAGTCTGTAGAGTTAATGTTACTTACAGACATGTGATACTTTTGACCTGGAAGACTGGTGGACGAAATTTCTGGAAATAAAAAAATTATAGATTTAAATTAGGAATTGATCACCTTGATCAACCCTCCCCCACCCTATCTTACCAAAATTCTCAATTTTCTCAATTCCTAACACCTCTTTGCCCGTTTAATTATTTTTCTTTGTCCTTCTTATTATTTTCTTAAAATTTCAATTAATTTTTCTTTTAAAATTTGAAAAAATGCCTTCAAATGAATTAAATTCTCCTTTATTGAATTATGAACAATTATTGATGACCGAAAATATTAAAAAGGAAAAACTAAATTTTTATATGGGTCCCGTTATTTTTATGGATAAACAACTGAAAAGGCTTAGAGAGGCGCCTGTACACGTAAAAATTTTTGAAAATTTTAAAAATGAGTCTCTACAGACTGTGGTCCGTAGGGAACACGTTCTTTACGGACTACGCGATTCTGTCTCCTCCCTTTTTATGTAGTTATACTTTTATGCGAATTCATTTTTTGCGGATCAATTTTGTCTTCAGATGCTGATCATTCATTGAACATAACCCTCTTCTTTTAAATATACCCTGGATAAGTGTCAAAGAAATATGATTGGGCTCCCTTTATAGTAAGGATATCTCCCCAAGCCTTTGGGGTCGGATGTGTCGGGGATCGGGGTTTGCCGGGGAAAGCATGTCGGGGTTCGGGTCGGGGGTTTGGCAAAAAAATCGTTGGGGTCGGGGACGGAGAACTACCCTACTTTATAACATTGGACTCCGTTAGAGGGTAATCTCAAGTCTCTCCTCTATCCGACCTTAAACAATAAAGGAAACTAAACTTTTATGGGCAGACATTCGTGTTGAATTTAAGAGTGTTAAAAAAGTTTAAAAAAAAAATATTTTTCCATCTTCAGACAGTCATTAGCCCGGAAAGGTTCCAAATAAGCATTGACCTGTCAATTTTTGAACCAGAAGATATTCAGGTTTGAAAGAAATATCTTATGAAAAATTACCCAAAAAATTTAAAGTTACTCTTATCTAAAGGCCAATTAGTTGTTTTGGCAGAAAGAGAAGTTAGAATTAACGAATCGTCTGTGGTTGTTCGACATTTCCGTAGGAAAATAAGTATACCCGAGGATGTGGTGACCGATGCTGTTGCTACACAAATTAATTCGTAAATTTTAATTAAATTTATCTTGGAATGTATGCTAATCTCGTTTCAATGGAGTAAGTTAACCTGTTTGGGTAAACTAAGCAAGCATCTTGCTGATATCTCTAATCGCATCACTCCTCAGTATCTCCCTTTAATTTTCTTTGTATTATCATTTTGTCCACCCCCCCCCCTTTTTTACCCAATTTCCACAATTTTGAATCAAGTAAGTAATAAGGGAGATTCAGCTATTAGCTAGCTTTTTAAAATCGAGTGGAAGTTGAAAATCTATTAAATGAGGTAGAAAGTAGTACCTCTATGACTCAGCTCATAGTCTACCTTTACAGGAGGTCATAGGAGCTTTACAAGTAGTCATAAACATGAAGATCACAGGGGATACTTGCCCAGATTTAAACTCCTACCTCTCTCTTACTGTATTTAATTCGTAATTCAATTTTAGGTAAATTTCAAGTCAATAATTTTCTCTTTTCTAAAGGTTTGGCATTCTTACAATGACAGTATTACGAAGAGCTAGAGCTTAATCAAATAAAAATTTTATTTAAAAAATTGTAGTCTATTTAACTGATATTTTAATTAATAAATTATTTCATTGTGCTAATTTAAATAAAAAATGAATTTTAAAAAAATCTTCAAAGTCCCCTCTATTCAACTCATTCCTCTTTCTACCACAATTATTACGGACCCCAATATTTTTCCGTTTCCAATGGTTACCCTTTTAAAATATTTTTTTCCTTTTCTCCTCGTCTTTAAATGGTCACCTCTCCTTCCCTGTTGGACGTCTTTTAAATAAATACCTAAATTGTCTCCATGGCATCTGCTAAAAAAATTTTTTTTTATTTTTTAATATAGTTATAAGCCTTAATTAAATATCTTTTTTAGTTGTTCTTTTTTGTTTAATTTTTGGTATTTAATTTTTAATTAAATTTAACACGTTATACTAAAATATTCACACGTCAATGGAAGAAATATTTTTTTTAATTAAATTTTAACAAAAAATTTTTGAAATTAATTTTTAAAAGTCAGACCAGGTGTGGGCGTATTGCGTTTTGCGTTATTTGCGTTGTTTTTAGCCTTGCGTTGCGTTTTACGTTTTTAGAGATTTTCTATTGCGTTCACCCCTGATTCCTTACAAATTTTTAATTAATATACCCTATTTACTCTAATAATTACCCCCGGATCTAGTATTTATTATTGGGTAATTATTGTTTCACCAATGGCTTTAGGGTTTTTTCGTCTCATTAATTGCCTTCCCTCGTTAATTAACAAAGGAAGGCAATTAATGAGACGAAATAATTATTTGAAATAGGATACTTATTGAGATTCACTCTAATAATTACCCCATGATCTAGTATTTATTATTAAATAATCACGGTAGGTCCCCTAACCAGCAATCACGCTCTTTTTCTACCTGCTCTGGCTATATGTAGGGTAATTAAAGGAGGAGAATAATTAATGAGGCGAAATAATTATTTGAGATAGGATAATTAATAGGGGTTATACGGTCAGTTGAAGCTCGATTTTAAATCCACTCGGGCTCGAAAAAAATTTGTATTTAAAAATTTGATGGCAACTTGAGGTTATCGCCTCTAGGCAGCTCCTCCGAGTGACTAACCTAAAATTAAGGCGTATCTAAAATCGAGGTGTATCCAATTTCGGGAGTATCTTATAACGAGGGTTGACCGTATTCTAAAAATAATTCTCTCATACCTTGGCATTCTGTTTATTTTTTGGCATTCTGTTAAAAAAATTTTCAAAAAAAATTTTTTCAATAAAAATTATCATTCAAAAGAACACCAAAAAGCCCCTTTTTTACTCAAAAATTGTTCACGAGTTCTCTTTAACAGTTCTGCCATTTTCACAATTCCCAAAGGTCAAATAAGTGCAAAAAACTGGCATTTATCTATTTTATTGTCACTTATGTTTAAAAGGTTAACGCTTAGGCGAGCGCTCATAATTTGACTTAGAAGCTTCCTATCTTAATGAAATTTTGTGTAGAGGTCTCCAATAGTGTTATCTAATATCTCTGAAAATTTCAGAATTTTCGGTAGACTAATTCAGAATTTATGAGCAAAAAACCTCAATAATGTCGACGTTTTGCTCGAAAATTCTGATTTTTATACCAGAACTTCTGAAATATCCCACCAAAAATTCTGAAATTTTAAGAGGGATTAGTTAACACTATTGGAGATACCCAAACAAAATTTGGCGATTTTAGGACCTCTTTTGACTTTTTTGTAAATTAACGACTGGACGTTACTGCATAAATACCAACCTAGACTGACGAAGGCGAAGAAAAAATTTTTCAAAAAATTTTTGAAAAATTTTTGAAATTTTTCAAAAATTTTTCCATCCTTTTTAAAGTATATAAAACATTTGAAGACTATTTTTAAATTTTTTGTTAGCAAAAATTCTTCCAAAAAATTCTATGCATATTTAAATTGTACCCTTTTATCCTCCCCCTCCCCTTCCCTCCCTCCCTCCCTCCATTTCCCTTTCACCCCAAAAAGCCTCGGCAGCTAAAAAGGGGAAAAAAGGGAAGTACTGAATTTGTACAGCCCTATTGTCGAGAGGTTTGTTTGCTGCTATTTTACTGCTATTTTTAAAATATTTACTAAAAATATTTTGGGGGGAAACAAGAATTTTTGTACAAATATTTGCTAAAATCCAACCTTTAACGATGATAATTGAAAGCTTGGGATGCCTAGAAAAGGAAGATAACATGATTAGATATGGGAGAAATTTTAGGGATGTTTAAAAGGGGTGGGAAGGGAGATATTTGTACATTAGAAAAAACCTTAATTCTCTCCAAAATGTTAGAGGCTCCCCCCCACACCCACCATCAGAATAATATAGAGATTAAGGATATTTAACGTATTTTCTTCTCTTTTTTAAATTTGTATTTACCGTATAACCCGTATTAATTGCCCCCCCCCAATAATTACCCTACTTCCATTAATTACATACATAAATGCCCTTAAACACGTTCAAATTTCAAACCCGTATAATTACCCTCCCTTAATTAATTAAACCCTCCTGCGGAAGGTCGAAACAATACTTACCCTGAGTAGTTATTAAAGGATATAGGGTAATTGAAATTTGAGGTATAAATTAATAATTTTAAGGTTAAAAAATAATTGTAAACTAGTGTGCTAGGATCTATTAAAATTTTGGATTTAAATTTTTTTAATGAGAGAAAAACGGAAGGTACAGGAATTGACTATTAGAGTAATATATCTATCCCCCTTATAATTCTGTCATAACCACAATTACTCTATTTATCTAGAAAATTCTTGTTTTCAAAGCAAATACCCCCCATACACTCCCCCCCCCAACCAACATACCAACATAACAAATGCGCTCGCGCGATGTTTCCCTCTCCTTAATTAAAATTATTTTTACTTGAGGGATCAAAAATAATTTTTTAAAATTTATTTAAAAACTCAACTAACATTTTTTAATTTAAATTTATTTTTAGAATTTTTTAGAAAGAGTGATTCATGTAAATAAACAATTAAAAAACCGCTCGCCTCCCCCCCTAACCCCCCCTCCCCCACTCATTATTTTCTCTGTTATCATTTTAAATTTTTTTAAATTTTTTTTTAATTTTCCTCTCATGTCACATCACTCGTCACCTTATCCTTTAGAGTCGGGCAGACTTACTAGACACCCGAAAATCAAAAAACCTGCCTCTACTGAGTCTAATATGATTGAAATACACCTCGCGTTTTACGAGGTTAGGGTTAGTAGAGCGTGGGAACGTTGCGGCGCGAGCGTCTAAATTTTCATGTTTCATAGATGATAGAGCCATGAAATTTTGCATACACCTTCCTAATATGTTTATCTATATACTCTAAAAATTTCAGAATTTTTGGTTTACTATTTCAGAACTTCTGGTCAAGAAGATCAGAATTTTCGGTGAAGATGTCTATTTTTTGTAGTTTTTTGGCCATAACTTTTAAAATACTGAACCAAAAATTCTGAAATTTTTAGGATAAGTAGATAACACTATTAGACACCACCTTACAAAATTTCACATTTTTAGGACTTCTTTGAAAAAACTTATAACCTCCAACGCCTAGACAACTCATGATTTCTGCGCCCAAACAACCCCCTTCCTCACTCATTTCTCTCTTCTTTCCCTCTCATTCATTCCCTCAAACAACTCCATTCATTTTTTCATGTTCGCGAATTTCTCATGTACACTTACAATTTTTATTTTACGTATCCGATCGATGCGTTTTGGCTGTAAAGTGTCTTTTTCTCTTTTTAAAACATTTAAAATATTGCTTCTTTTGTTCACGTCACACTGATTGAACAAGGGGAAAAATTGCTTGTCATTATAGCTATTACTTTGACAAATACTAGCTGACTTATAAAATATACTTGACATTTTTAAAATAAAAATAAAAATAATTTTAGTAATATAAGTAGGTTAGTTTTTCAGATTTTTTTGAAAAATTTAAAAAAAATCGATAAGAATTTTTAAAAAAAATCGATAAAAAAATTTCAAAAAAATTCTGAAAAAAAAATCATTTTTCATATTTAAAATTTTCAAAATAATTTTTTAAATATTTTAAAAAATTTAAAATTTTCAAAAAAAATTGGAAATTTTTTTATATTTTTCCAGTTTCACTGACCATTTTGAGCATTTTTTTAATTTTCAAAAAAAATTTCCTTGCCCTTACACCTTACTGTATTTTCCGACCTTTTTTTTATTTTTTCGAATTGTTCGTTTACCACGGATTTTTCAATAGATTACTAGACTAGCGATTTTTCATTTTTTAAAATAAAAAATTTTTAGAAAAAAAAATCCGGAAATAAAATTCCAAAAAATCCTTTGGGTCTTTCCACGTTTACCCAGGATTATTTCCGCCTTTAATTGAATTTTTATTAAAATTTTATAATTTATCTACTATTTTCTACAATTTGAAATTAAAAATTATTTCACAATTCATTTCCATCATTTTTACCAAGTTCTGAAAGGATCTGGCATTGTTACAGTAAGACTATGGTCAAATGAGTTACACTATTATGGACAGATGAGTTAAGCTAACTGAACGCAAGCTTAGATCGTTTATAGCCTCTTTTTTAGCCTTGATCCATTCTGAATCAATCCTCAAGCGAACTGCCACTTAGTTAGTCCATTCTTTATAGGTTATCTGATATAGTCGAATTTCCTTTTGAAAATTATGCCCTAGGATATGAAAAAATTATTTAGTAAATTAGGACTTCACTAAAACTTTTTTGCATTTTTAAGATGAGAGATGAGACCTTAAGATGAGATCTTAAGATGAGATCTTAAGGTCTTAAGGTCATTAACTTAAACTGAGATCGAGAAGGAATCTCAATCAGAACTCTTGAAAAATTAATCTCAATTCTCCTTCAGCTCTTCAGTACGCTCTCTTAATGTTTTTATTCCCTCACTTTTTTCAATTTTTTGATTGAAATCATTTCAAAATTCACACAAAAATAATTTTGAATGACACATTTTACTTTTTTTTGTTTGTTTGTTATTTTAGAATTTTTTAAATGTCATCAAGTTTTATAGAGGAAAAAAATATTTTTAATTTTGTAAAGGTTTTTTAATCATTTCCCTCAATTACACACAAAAATTCTTTCCTTTTAATTTAATTTTTGTGATTAAATATTTTTAATTGATTCATCGCAGCGTAATGATCGAAAATTAATTTTTTCCCAGTTTGATTTCTTCTATCGAGCATAGGAAAAAACATCAGTGATACATTCTAAACTTCTGTTACCCCCCCCCCCCTTCCGCTCTTTAAAAAGCGGAAGACAAGACGGAATGAAAAAATTTGCAGACGGACTCCCATCCCCGGTCAACACCTTTCCGATCTGTTACGACTCTACCCCCCACACTAATATTTACCTCTAAATTTTGTTAGTATTCCTTGTTATGTGGTTTTTTCAATTTCCGATCACACTTTTCTAGACCTACAGACTCAGGGATCGCGCCGACATTAAAACAAGATTCCCGATTTCGGGAATCGGAACTTTTGTCGGTGCGACCCTGATCTCACTGTGACTGTACTGGGAAGTTACCCATTATTAATGTTAAATATTTGTGTGGCAGATCGAAAGGTGTTTATTTTATAAGTAGAAACAAAGATAAAAAAATCTTCTTAGGAAAAATCCGTCTTATCCCCAGGAACGTGCCAATTTCACTTCTCTAAATTTGTTTCGGCATACTAATGGACCTTCCATTCTAAAATAAACTTTTATTTTTTTCTTCCCATTTCCAAATTTATTTTTAATATTTTTAAAGGTCCTTTTAAATAAATTGCCACCCCTTTTTGGGTAAACACAAATAATAATATTACTAAAATTAGCCTTCATATTTTAGCTAGAACAAAACCCTTATTTTATTTTTATTGTTATTATTTTTGTTGTTTTCCTTTATTTCTTGTTTACTAAAATTCTAAAAATAATTATTTTATTTCTATTTAATATTAAATCTCTATTTAATTCCACTCTGATAAATTTAACCGGACAGATACACTTGAGAGATTAGTATAAGGTAAAAGGCCGATATGTGGGAGAAGAAATGTCAAGATACACGGGATAAGTCAGAGCGTGAATTTTATGGAGAAGGGGATGATTAAGAGCCTTTTATGTCCCATAATCTGTAACTTATGTATCCCCTCACATTTTCAAATTTTTTCAAATACATCCTGTGCACACCTCCAAGATATCCCATCTGATTTTATTTAATTTACCCATCTCTCATATTTTTTCATATTCTTTTATCAAATGAACGTTAAATTCTAGTCGTGTTCCAGCCGGGGTAATTGGGGGATGAATTTTATGGAGAAGGGATAATTGAGAGATAATTGAAAGCCTCGTATACATAGTCTGTTTCCCTTAATTTACTCATTCTAACATATTTCCCCTTTTCAATTATCACAATTGGAGTTGGAGTTTTTCGGACCGGTCCGACATCGAGTCATCTCTTTCCGGCCTCATTTTTATCGGGCCAGACCAGTCAAATCTTTTTAGGCCAAAATTCAATGCCCTTCTTGATCTTTCGGATCGGACCAGGCATCCAACCTAATCACAAGCTCCAGCTCATACCCACCAATATACATAGGTGGCATAGTTAAGAAGGGTAGGACATGATAAAGATTTTTTTTATTTTCTATACCATTTTTTCAAAATGGTTCATTCATCAAGATTAATCATCAAAAATTCTTTAAATTTTTCCTCATTCTTTTTTTATTTTTTTTTAATTTTCTGACTATAAACTTGAAAAGGTTGTTTTTCAAATGAGAGAAATAGCCTTTAAAACCTGGTGATTTTTGTCATTTTAATTTTTAATTTAAGAAAGAATTTTTTTAAAACATTCGTCTAAAAATAAAAATATGCCAACACTAAAACGAACAAATAAAAAAAATTTTTTTTGAACAAAAGAAATGATAAAATCAACAATTAAAATATTTATTTCTTTATTTTTTGGTTTAAATATTTTTTATTTATTTAAATACAAGCCAAACATATTTAGAGGGGAATAGGGATCAGACTGAGACTAGATCTCGAATAAAAATAATTTTTGTAAAACGAAATTTTTCTAATTGAGCGGTTGCTTCATTAGAGAGGGGATTGAGATTGACACTTTGAAAGGGGATTGAAAATTGAGCGACCGGGCGCTGTATTAGAGAATGTAGATGATCCTTCCCTTACCTACATATATTTCGGTGATCCTGTCAAAATAAAAAATAAATTCCTGATTTTCTCTAAGAAATTCTCGATCTAGGACCCGTCTGGAATTCTCGGTTTTCGGAAATCGGGACGATAGGATCCCTTCGTATTAGATTTCGGATAGAAGCTCGGCGTTTCTGGTAACTGGGTTAAGGTATCCCATACTAGAGACCGGACCGAGGCGAGATCTCGATCGAAAATTTCGGTTATCGAGATCAAGATTAATCGAGATCTCGATTTTTATACGACACTTCCAGTCCAATTCCTATTCCCATACTCGTGCCATCCAACCTGATAAACAAAAAAATTTTTGTTATAATATTTTATTATATTTTTGTTGCCATTTTCAAAATTTTATTCTCTCCTTCCCTTTAATTTGACTAATTAAAAATATTTTTTAATTGTTCTTCTAACCCCCCATCCATTTTATATTTTTAATATTTTTGGATTAACACTTTTTTTCTCTTTTTCTCTTTCATCTACTACCCCTCCGCCTCAATATATTCAAAAACATTTTTATTCTCCCTCGTTTTGTTCCCCGCTCGTATTTACTAGACTCCCCACATCCTTTTTATCCGATAGAGGATATATTAAATAAGAGGGGAGGAAAACACTCATGCGCGTAATTTTAAGCTCTCTTCCCTTCCATTTTTTGAAACAAAAAATTCCAGATCGTTAGAAAATTGAAAATTTTTTATTGAATTTATTTTCTTGTCTAATCTTAAACCAGAAGGGTTAATTTTTAAATTTAAATTAAATTACCAATTATTATAAGGAGGCATTATTTAACAAAATGGCACTCACTTTAATACATAGAATAATCGAAGGAATCATAGGAAGCTAAGGGGGAGTTAATTAAAATAAATCAACACTTAAATAGAACATTCGGCCCTATATGAAATTAGGTTGGGAATCGTTTTTTTCGTTACTTTTTTCCTTTACTTTTTTCCTCCCTTGACATGACAGTCAAGGGACATGACAGTCTCTCGCTTATCCCAGCCTTTCATACTATCATTATCATTCCAAGAACGCACACACATTTTTCTTATCCCTAGCCTTCAGCTTATATCACACCTATATTTATCACACTCTCTCTAGCCTTATCATTAGGGTTGGGGTTTTCGAGTCGGGCCGACGTTCGAGTTATTCTTTTCTGGACTCATTTTTTTCGGGTCGGGTCGACCGAGTCTTTTTCGGGCCAAAATTCGATGCCCGACTCGATCTTTCGAACCGGGCCGGATCGGGCCCCCAATCCTACTTATCATTCCTAATATCACACATTTTTACTTATCCTAGCCTCCAACTTATTCCATCCTCTATCTCGACTTGTGATAAGTTTTGATATCTTTCATCTACTCACCAGATACCAAATTTTAATTGAATTTAACCGAACTCCTTTTACTTTAGGGAAGTTTCTTATATCGGGATTCTAAGTTTGTGATCGTTCAATTATTTTTATTTTTAATAATGACCAAGTCAATATCTAGTAGATCACAAATAATTTTATATAATCTCATTTTTCAGCTTTTTCTTTATTTTTCATTCAAACAACGCGGATTATCCTTCCACCAAACAACAAAGAAAAGACCAAATCAATTGCGCTTCTTTTTCTTTATTCAAAAAAACTTTTCTTTTATTCCCCAAATTTTCAAAGAATCAAAAGGACTAGAAAGCTTTATATCCAACAAAAAAATAGCTTTGTTCCTTTAAAAATAATTTTTTCCTCCCCTTAAAAGAATCTTTAAATTAAACAAAAATTGCGAATAAAGTGCGTGAACTACAACGACAAGGCCGTTATATTAATCGTTCTATGGACTACTTAGAGGTACAAAAATTGTCTAGAAATTCCAACATGTTGGGGAAAAATCAGAATAAAATACTTAACGCTCAAAATACCCCAAGTAAGATAAGTGTTGTGTCCGTACTTGCAGAAGTAATATAGGTAAATGAAAATAATAACCCATCATCGGGCTGGATGGTGGGTGGCACAGACGGTTGTGCTTCGGTCTGGCATATTCCATGAGATGGTTCAATTCCATCTTCCATCCAAACAATTTTTCCACAACAAGAACATCGTATTCAATAATGAGTGAGAATACCAAAATTTAATTGGATTTGGAATTTAATTTGGAATTTAATTTGGAATTTGATAACCTGTTAGAGGCGGAAGGGAAAAAACATCGCCTCCCACAAGATTTCTCAACTGTCATAATTTTATTAGGTAAAAACAACCCTATAGAACTACTCTAGGTCTAGGGAAAAGGTCTCTTATAGCGGAATTCCACATTTGACTGAGTCACTATTATCGAGAGTTGACTACATGGAGGTTTTATTAGGTAAAAAACAACCCTATAGAACTACTCTAGGCCTAAGGGAAAAGTCTCTTATAGCGGAATTCCACAATTTACGGATGTCGCTACTATCGAGAGTTGACTATATTGAGACAACTCGAATTTTCGCTAAGGACGCTAAAACTAACCCCCTTTAAACCCTCATTTAAAATAATCAAAAAATTTCAGGCTGAACCTTCACCTTCTCTATACAATGGAATTGTACCCTCATCCTCCTCCTCCGTAGCTTCTCGTCTCTACCTAAATGGACAACGCTCATCTAGACGAGATTCTTTTAGTTCAGATCCAGAACTTATCCATTTACACGAACATTCCGATTCTTGTGCTGGCTCAGATTCTAACAGTGCTGCTAATCAGGCAATTTAAACAGAATGCCAAAAATTTCAAAAAAAATTTTTTTGAATTTTTAGGTGTCCCTCTTTGCCCAAAAACTTTCAGAACTTCAAGACGAGAAAATTGCTGCGACAGAAGAAAAGTCTAGAATCCGAACAGAAAATGCTGTTCTTCAGGAAAGAGTTCATTTATTGGAGGAACAGCTCCATGCTACAGAGCAGAGATGGGCTGAAAAGTTGAATGAGGAAAAGGCTAAGGCTAGGGAGATGACTCAAAGGACTGATAGAGAGAGGCAGTTGGAGGCGGAGAAGGAGGCCCTTAGGCTAGTGATTTTTAAATGATTGGTTGACTAGAGACCGGACCGAGACGAAATCTCGATCGAAATCTCGGTTATCGAGATTTTTTCGAGATCTCGATTCTCGTACGACACTCCCAGTCCGATCTCTATGATTGACCATTTTGAAAAAAATCCAGATTGACCATTTTGAGATAAAATTACTGACTGACCACTTTAAAACAAATTTACTGTATGATCCTTCTTGTCGACTGACCCTTATGAAACTTAATCCCTCTTTTGACCTTTTGAAACAAACTCCACTTCTGACCCTTTTGAAATACAGTAATCCTTTAGGAATCCTTACTCATTCTTTCTTTATCGTTTCCCTCAAAAAAAGCATTCCTCTTTAAGGCATCAAATGCTCTCCAACCAAGTCACACAACTTGAACGCGAACGTGAACGAACAACCACCGAACTGAGTGACGCTAAAGACCGCATTCGTCGCTTGCAAGATCAACTGACAGATTCACAACAAGAGACAGAGAATGCCCATTTAGAGCATAAAGCGCTTAAAGCCGAATTTGAGAGGTGAAAAGGAGGGAGAAAAAAATTGGGGGAGGGGGAGAAGGGGGATTGGGAAATTAGCCACGAAAATTAAAAAAAAGAGAAAATCAATTTGTTGAGAAATTTAAAAATAAAAATTTGTAAATTCCCCTTAAAATTGAGGTGAAAATAAAAGAAAATATTTAAAAAATTATTTAGCTATCGCCGTGAAATGACTAACCGTTTGGAGGATAGTTCTGAATTTTTGGAAGAATTGGCTAGGCAAACGGACCATTTGAGACAGAATGAGTTGGAGAAAATGCCGAAACATGGGTCTTTAACTGATAGGGTAGGGAAACACTAAATTTTTATAAGGGAGAATATTGGAAGGAAAATACCCTCTATTGTACGGACAGTAAACTTCTACTATAAGAGACTTGGGAAAGTTCGTTAGAGTGGATTGCCCACAAGGCTGAAGGTTCGTAAGGGACAAAGCCCTTAATCCGTTAATCCGTGAACAAAAGAAAAAGTCGCTTATATTGAGCGGTCCTTAATATATGGTTCTATTATAGCGAAAGTTGATACAACGAGGTTTGCTCCTAGAAGCACAGACTATGTTCTAAATACATTTATAATACATCCATATTATGTACAATCTCTTTTGTAGCGGGGTGTATACGTTGTATGGAGGTTAAGATTTGTATAAAGGTGTATATTGTATATAGGCTAAGCATTGTATAAAGGTGTACACTGTATAGAGGTTAAGATTTGTATAGAGGTGTACATTGTATAGAGGTTAAGCATTGTAGAAAGGTTGAGCCTTGTATAGGCGTACACTATATAGAGGTTATTGTTCCACAAGAGAATCGGAAACTCGCTTCTTTTCCCAGTCAATCCCTCTTTCTAATCAACTCCCTTTTTAAGATTATCCAATTAGAAGACGAAGTTGACAGATTACAAATTGAAAATCGCGAACTTCAAACCCATTGCGACGACTTACAGGCCCAATTATTACACAATTCTGTGGAATGTGGACGTAGTCTGTTGGGGAATGGAAGTCAGCCTAGTTTGGCTGCAGAATTGAATGGAACGAATAATGGGGGAATGGATGAACAAAAAGTTGGGGGAAAATTTTTTTGAAATTTCAAAAATTTAATTTTTCAGTTGTTGAATATTATCAAAGAACAAGACATTGATAATCAAAAATTGAGAAATTATATTAATGGTAAGGTGGAAAGAGTTTTGGATAGGGAATTTGTTAGTTGAACCTCGTTTATAAAATACTACTTGGAAGATGAACTGGTGTTGAAAAGCTGGGATGCTTGGGGGGTTTTCAGACTTGGAACTGTATAATGAGGGATCGTAGAGTATCGTATCTCCTACCCGTCTTATCTCACCTAGTAACGTAATATTCGTCCTTGCATACTCTCATATCCCATCTAGAGCTTTTTCAAACTTTCGATTTTTGAGGTTATTTTTCGTTCGATCTCCAATTTTCGAAAATTTTTTTTCCAAACCCTCCTTGCCCATTCATGTGAGATATCTCATGTTGGTAAAACGGAACTTAAAATTTTGGGCTTAACCTGCGTCTTACTTGAAAGATATTATTTTTCTTTAAATTTCAGGTATCCTTATAAGAGTGGTCGAGCTACACCCTGAAATTCTAGAAATAAAGGATGATATGAACACATCAAGAGTTTCAGATGTCTCTGAGGAGAAGGAAGAAATTTCAAATGCTCCTTTATGACAATTAACCGGCGGTACTGCAACTACACGAACGGGCTATGGTAAACGTTCAACATCACAACCAACATCGCCAACTGCATCGGGATTGGTGATTAGAAAAAAATTTTTTGAAAATTTTTGAAAAAATTTCCAAAAAAAATTTTTAAAAATTTCCAAAAAAATTCAAAAATTTTTCTAAAATTTTCAGAAAAATTTTCAAAAAGAAATTTCCAACAAAAAAATTTTTTTTCTTTTCAGTTTGCTCGTAACGAATTAGAGCGTCTTTCCCTTCGCAAGCCCTCTACCCGTTCTGCAGCACCGCCACCTCAAGATGAAAATCAAAATTTAATGAAACGCTTGTACAGCTCTTTTTGGACTTTAAAAGAAAGATGGAGTGGAGAGAACACTGAAGGTAGTGTGGAAGGAACAAAATTGGAAAATAAAGGAGAAAAGTCATTCGACATTCAAAAACCCTCAAAATAAAGAGAAACAGAGCTACACAGTCGAACCTCGCTTAAAGATGCTCCTCTGGGAAATTGTGCCGTGTAATGAAGTATACCCTGAACATTTACTAGAGAGTATACAAGCCTAAGCACTAGTCCACCCACCAACAAAGTTTTAAAAAATACACTCAGAGATCGAGAAGCCGTAACCTGAAAAGCCTGGGCCTGTTCCCGGACTCTAAGGTTTGATTTATTGACCTGGGACCGGATCTTGGGCCTGTAGTCCAAACCCAGGCCCAGGAAAAACGCAGGAAGGTCAAAAAAATGCCTGGGACGGTACTCTGAGTACAGGAAAAACAAAGGCCTTGGTCCAGCCCAGCTCGATCCCTTATACCCTCTATTGTACGTACAGTAAATTGAAGCTTAAATTGAGATCAAATCTAATTATAAGATATTCCTTTGGGACTGAACCAATTTTACCCTAAATATAGGTTATGGCTTAAGCAGCTCACCAATCTGTAGTCATCCTAAATTGAGGCTTATCTAGAGGGTATCTAATAACGAGGTTCGGCACTTTAAATATTTTAATATACAAAGTACTAACAAATGAGCTAGAAAACCATTCAATTTTGCTTTCATAACCCTTCATGTTTTATTGTATATTTTTATGTAACAACTCATTTTTAAACCCCCCTGTCGGGTTGTTTTCTGTGATGTTTATGAGTGTAATTTTTATTTTTTTGATAAAATCTGTCCAAATAGGATCGGAAATTTTTTTTATTTTTCAAAAATCCACGCAAAAATCCAACGCTTTTTAATAAGAATTTAACTTTGTTTTTTTATTTTTTTCAGATAATATAAAAAATTCTAATAATACCATACAATATTCTAACAATTTTTATCAGTTTAGATTTCTCACTTACAAATATTCGAAATCATTATATTTATCAGTCAAAGAATTTTTAAAAATTAATTTCGAAAAAATTAAACCATCTTTAAACAAAAATTAAAAAAAAATAAATTTCAATTTAATTTTGATTCTCCGGAAACAGAATATTGAAGGCCTGGATATAGTTTGTAATATAGATGAAATTAATTTGTTTTTCCAATTCCTCCTCTATAAGCTCAATTTCTTCTTTCATTGTAGGTGGTAAAAAATATTAATGTTGTGTCTTATTGCTGCATTTACCTTTGCCTCCGCCCCGCCAACCCATATAACCCTGCCGTTTTCATCAATTTCACCAAGAAATGAATATCCTCAAGAAAATATGTTCACAAGTTAAAAATTTGGCAGCCCCTTTCGGCCAAAAGCCAATACTCAACTTCAAAGCATTTTGATTCCTTATGTACATCTCAGCGGCGATCGCCGAGTCGATCAATGTTTCCGAGCAATTACCAATAGCAACACAAAAAGCGATGAAAGTGCCGCAAAAGATGAGGAGGAACAAATAGGAGGCATACTTGTTCAACAAGTTTATAAAGATGATGTTACTGGAGATGAAGAAAATAACATGGAAGTACCAGAGAATAGCATGGAAGTGTCTGGACCTTCGAATGTAAAATCCTCTGGTACTTCCATGTTATTTTCTTCATCTCCAGTAACATCATCTTTATAAACTTGTTGAACAAGTATGCCTCCTATTTGTTCCTCCTCATCTTTTGCGGCACTTTCATCGCTTTTTGTGTTGCTATTGGTAATTGCTCGGAAACATTGATCGACTCGGCGATCGCCGCTGAGATGTACATAAGGAATCAAAATGCTTTGAAGTTGAGTATTGGCTTTTGGCCGAAAGGGGCTGCCAAATTTTTAACTTGTGAACATATTTTCTTGAGGATATTCATTTCTTGGTGAAATTGATGAAAACGGCAGGGTTATATGGGTTGGCGGGGCGGAGGCAAAGGTAAATGCAGCAATAAGACACAACATTAATATTTTTTACCACCTACAATGAAAGAAGAAATTGAGCTTATAGAGGAGGAATTGGAAAAACAAATTAATTTCATCTATATTACAAACCATATCCAGGCCTTCAATATTCTGTTTCCGAAGAATCAAAATTGAATTCAAATTTATTTTTTATAAATTTTGTTTAAAGATGGTTTAATTTTTCGAAATTAATTTTTAAAAATTCTTTGACTAACAGAGATATTTAAAAAGCCAAAAATAGGGGTCTACAAATTGGGATAACACAACCCTTTAAAATAAGAGTTGCAAATATTTTGTAAAGGAATTTAATTTTACATATCGCAATTTGGGGGATGAAAAAAATAAATGGGAATTTCTTTGATAATATCCGGTCTTTATCTAATCCCTTCTTAAAATTTTTCCTCTAAATTTAACCCAAAAATTTTCCAAAGACACCTTTTCGACGTTTAGGATTGGCATTTGACGATTCTCCCTCATTATCATCAATCTCTTGAATTGTGGGCCCAATTCCATTATTTGAGTAAATCACATCCTCTTGATGACGTCCTCCACGTCCATTACGAGAATAACTGGAAAATTAAAATTTAAAAATCATTAAGAATTAAAGAATAAATTTTTTAGAGAAGGAAAAAACGTTAAAAACGGACTAGAATCATCGGTATTCAAAAATGATTTTTCCCTTGTTTATGGACAAAAGATGGCAACAACCGAGTATTCAACCCAACGACTGCCTCATTATAAAAAGCCCCCTCCCCTCCCCAGTTCCTAGAGAAGAAAGTTCCTAGAACGTAAGAGAGCGGCTTTCTTACAAAAAAATTTACTTCCCATAATCCAGAAAGTTTTTAAAAAACTATGAACCAAACTATCCAAAACTCAAATCTAATGAACCACCAAAAAATCCCTATATTTTAACCAATAATTTTTATCAAAATTATTTACCGTCCCCTTTGTTGTTCTTCCTCATCATCCGGAATAGTTATGATTGGCGCAGAAGTTTCTCCTGTATTGTGAAGATATTTTCGAGAATCTCGTCCTCTCTTTCCATTTTCAATAGCTTGATTACGATGAGTATTATGGCCACCAAAAAGTCCAGCAATTCCATTCAAATTTTCCCGAGCTTGGGTTTTGAAACGTTCATTAAAGTCACGGGCTTCGGCTAAAAATGAAAAAATATTCAATTTAAGTATTTAAGCTTTCAGGCATGACAGGACTGGCCCCTACAACTCAATGAGGAATGAAAATGCCAAGGAATGAAATGCGGGTAAATGGGGCCAACCCAACATTAAACCAAAATCTTTAGATTATTTTCAGATTCTGCGAAATTCCCGACTCTGGGACAAAATAAAGAAGCCTTATAGATTCAAAGAGGAAACGATCCCTTATCAAACTATGAATCAAAAATGAGAGCTAACCAAAACATTGAATAATTGGAAATAAATTTATTGTCAGTCCCAAAAATTCCACAAAAACTGAATTCTCAACAAAAAAATCCCCTAAGATTCCCAACGTTTAAGGGATAAAAAATAAATCAAATAAAGAAAATACCTTCCTCCATATTGACAAATTTTTGCTGAGAACGGAACTTTCCATCTTTGTCACGCTTCTTTTCAACAATATGGGATTTATCCCCAATATTGTGTCCAATCGAGACTTCTTCGCGTTCTCCATCACGTAGAGCTCTTAAAGATCTCAAATTAAAAAAGCAAACTAAACGAAACAAACCTTCGAGTTTCAGACACATTTCCAGCCTTTCTAGTGGATGACTGGACATACTTTGGAGGTCCATTGCCATCAAAAGAGACCATTGTAGATTGAGACATCACAAAAGAATTGGGGTCGTTCAGAGCCGTGTTGTGGATGTTTTGCTTTAAATGAAAGGAAAAATTGGTTAAAAATAGTTAAAGAATTTCAAAAAAAACCATTTGAGACATCATCCCACCAAGCATAGACCCTCCAAATCCAAAACCGCCAAAAGGGTTCATCATCTGATTATTAAAGTTGCGATGAGGGGAATTGAAATCGTCGTCGTCAGTCAACATTGGATGATGGGGCATTCCATTCCCGAAGCCATTCAACATGTTAAATGCATCGCCAAGCATTGCTTAAAGTTGTTGGGTTAGAAGAATTTAAATAAATTGAAACAAACAATTCATCATATTGTCCATTTGCCGCATTTGACGATGAATATGGCTGAAAATTGTTAAGGTTAGTTGAAAATGAATATTAAAAGGGATTAGCCTAAAGTATGGGTCAAACCACAAGAGCAGCCGATACATAAGGATATAAACAATAAAACTAGCTAAATTGAATCAGTCGTAAAATCTCTTTGACTAAAGTAAATAGACAAGTCATTAAAGACAAAAGACTGTCCCTTAAAGATGCCTACTTATAAGACTCATTGAAGAGAAAACACTCAGGATCCTATGTATTAAAATATTTACGGTAATTTAGACAACAGGGAACCATCATACTGTCAGAGCGACTTCGAAATATTTCGTTATCAATCAAGAAGTTTTGACGATGAACAGCCATGAGGAGAAGGCCCCAGAGTTCTTATTGCGGGGTGATATTAGAATCAGTTCCGGAGATAAGTTACAGTATATGGGAAAATGTGGATGTATTCCTAAGCTCAAAATCTCCAAGAAAAACGGTCAAGATAAGCTTCCTCCCCTAAAAAACCAAAAAAACTTACTCGAAAGGGTTTCCAAAAGGATCGCGACCTCCGCCGAACATTATTTATTTTAAATTAATTGAAGATCAATAAAATAGCAACAAGTAGTTTTTAACTAAACTGAAAGAAAAATTACTACAAATGACACTTTTTAAAAGTTGCTGGAAGCGTGACTTTCGAGAAAATTCGACAATTTCCTCATAAGCGCGTCAATCGATAATTTCCATAATAACAGATTTTCAATGAGAAAAGTCAAAACACCAAATTTAAACAAATTTTCGAAATGTCGAACGACAAAATGGTACAATTTAAAAATGGTCAAAACGGAATAAAGGAAGGGATCGATCGTCATCCCTTTTTGATTTTAAGCTTGCTCTAGGAATTTTTAAATGTTGGTGATTCACAACGTTCTAGCTTGCCTTTATGGAATGTTTGAGGAAGAAAGTTTGGACTGATTCGTTAAATTTTAAAAATAAGCAGATTAAATAAAGGCTTCATTTTTTTAATCTTTTTCAGTTTAACTAGAGAATTTTGAATACATATTTGCATTTTTCTAAATTATTATTCTTTGAGGCTGTCAATATATAATGTCTATGCAATCAACAATTCCTCCACCTCCGCAAGGTTTGTTTGTTATTTGGTTTGGGTTTTGGGGGCTTTGGAGAGAGGTGAGGTTTTGGAGTCTATTAACTCCTTTTGTTTATGATTGAGAGGTGAATGTCTTGATTGTCAGTAAATGAGGGGGAAAGTATGTTGAAAAGTAAAGCACTTGATTTGTATCGTTGAGGACAGAACCTCGATTTAATTCTGGGTCGGTCTCTGTCCAGAGATTGTCCAGTTTTGACTTACGTCTCAAGTCAGCCTGTTTTGGATTTTTCAGGCTTTTCCCCTTTTTTTCTATCCTTTTTCCCTTATGAATATATTCAGTATCTTATGATGATGGGTTTTGATTTAGAAAAATTTTTGGTGCTTTCCCGTTACAAGCTTGAACCCACGCCTTGACCTTTTACATGAGTGGGACGCTAATCCTTGCTTATTTCCAACAAATTTCCTATTAATTTAAGATCCAGAATTGCAACGAATAATCGATTCAACGGCAGAATTTGTTGCCAAAAATGGCCCTGCATCTGAAGAAGTTGTTAGACAACAAAACAGAAATGATCCTCGATATGTTTTTCTGTTCGGAGGGGAATTCTCTGACTACTACAAATATAGATTGCTGTTTGAAATACAAAATTGTAAGGTTTTTTGCTTTAGATTTGAGTAGTTTCTTTTTAATTCCAGTGCAAGTTATTGCTCAAATACCTCCACCAACAACGAAGAATTCGTTGGAATTTGAACTAAAAAATGCAGAAGAACAAATAACTTGTCTTAGGAAGCAAATAATTGATTCTGAATCTAATTTAAAAGCACACGAGATGGCACTGAATTCTCAAAGACAGGTATAATGACTGGTTATTCTTACTATTAGTGTTCCCGGTCTTTCACTCTACTCGAGTTCGGGCGAATTAACCTACTCGAGCTCTTGGAACCCCTGCCATTAGGTTTTAAGTCGATTTAGGTATCTTTCCGTCCTTTCTTCAGTAGTATTCTATTGTTTAGGGTTGGGGGCCCTATCCGAAAGATCGAGTCTGGCATTGAATTTTGGCCCGAAAATTTTTGGCCCTTAGGTTTTAAGTCGATTCAGATATCCTTCAGTCCTTTCTTTAGTAGTACCCTACTTTCTATTTGAAGGGCTGGTGATTTTTTGCGATTTTGGGTCTCTGGTCATTAACATCGGATTCCATCTTATATCGCCCTCTAATTGTTTTTAGGTATCGCAAATGTTCTAATAGTAGCCCGGCTTTAATAGAGCCCATGCCCCATTAGAAGCCCACCCAATGGGACCCATTGAAGAATAAACGCCCAGGGCTTCTATTGGAATTTTTACGGTAATTTGTTTCTCGGGTGGAGGAATAGTCCACAAAATTCCAATCCCAAGCGATAATTTATTTTAACTTTGTTTCTCAATTTTAAGTCAAAAATTGATGTTTTATGGAGAGCAAAAGAGGATAAACGCATTGATGACTTGGTCAAACAAGTTGGACTAAATATCTCATCTTTTGACAAATGTTTGGAACGGCTACAAGAATCCGGCTCCAAAGATACAATTTCGGTCTGTCTCACTCTGACATGTAAAAATTTCGTCAAATTTCTTCCCTCTTAAGTTTCTTAGAATTTCCCAGGGTTTTGATATTTCCCCCCAAATTTAAAAATTTTTTTAAGTTTTATGGGCATACAATTTTTCTTTTATTGTATTTTTGGTTTTTAGAACAGTAAAAAATGGATTTTCGACAATTGTAGTAGTGATCGTTTGCGAGAAATTATTCTTACTTATCTTCTGCACAGGTTTTTTGGCGTGTCATCACACTTTTAAAGAAATTTTGTTGTTAGCATGGTTTATCTAAAATTATTTTTAGAGTGCGGGAACGTACAGCAACCGATGCGTTTAGACTTCATGTTCTTTACTTAATTAATGATTGGGCACATTATTGGTGAATTTAGAATTTCTGTAGGATTTTTGGGATGGGTTTGGGTTAGGTGACTGGACCAGTGATTTAACGAGCTATTTGAAAGTCGAAACCCGGACAATTCTTCGATCTGATATCCTTTCCGAGAAATTTTCGAAAACCCAATACGAAATCCTACCCAAATTTATTTTTTGTCATCCCGGATTTGACCGTGCAAGGATTTTTTTGGGTTTCCCTGTTTTTTTGCTCAAGTTTCATTTTAAATAGGGATAACTCTCCTTCATGCAAATTTACTCCTTGTTTAGGAAGGAGATATGAGTACAAGTTTTTTTAACCAGACTTGGAGCTTATTCACTTTTTTAAACTTGGAGATAGGAAAATATGCTTCCAATTTGCAAATTTCTGAAGTTTTGAACTTGTATTTTAAAAATTTTAGGGACTTAAGTGCTTAGAAAGTTATTTTCCAGTTTTTAATTCCAATTTTCAAAAAGGTGAGGCATAGGCCCTCTAAGTTCGCCCCACCTTTCAATCTCATTTTCCATATTTTTAGTCATCGCAAAAAATTGGACAGCATCCGTCAAATGCTTTCACGTTATGTGCCCAAACTTTACGCTTATGCTAGTAATAATGCTGGGACAATAAACGCTTTTAGTGAGAAATTAGAAAAATTAGTTGGCGTTTGGGAAGGACATAAATACTTTGATGATAGTTGTTTCAAGGTTTTTTTGATTAGCAAAAGTTGGTAGAAATTTTTTTTTAATTTAGCAATTACGAAATCCTGTCGCTGTTATAGCCACTGAACAGGCAACTGTAGCTGCATATCAATCACAATTGGCAATTGAAGTGGATAAAGAAATTGGTGAAACACTTGGGAGTTATGCAAAACAACATAAAGAATATGAGCAACATGTTTTGACAAAAATTGCAACAATGGAAACACAAATGAGGGAGATTAAAGGTTGTTTAGTTTAAATATTTTTGAGAATACTTTGGAATTTTAGGTATGACCTAAAAATCGATGAGTGAGGCAGGAAGCCGCGGACCAACAGAATAAGATGGGGTAGCTATTTGAGACTGATACGAGTCGATTTCTCTACTTTGGGTACTTGCTTGTTTGTCAAGCTTCCCTTTTGCCCTTTCTCCATCTTATTCTGTTGGTCCCCAGCTTTTTGCCACACTCGTCGATTCTTTAGGCCATACCTAAAATTTAAAAAAAATAGTTGGCGGTAGGGAAGGACATCTCCGCCACTTCCTCGGCTTCCTGCTCCACTCGCGATTTCTTATGTCATACCTAAAAATTTTTAGGTCACCCTGCTACGTGCAAATGCCTTATTTTTTTATAAATTTTTATTTTATTAAATCCAGATAGAATAGAAGCTGAAAATATAAGGCAAAAGGAAGAAGAATATGGCACGGAAAGAAGACGTTCTCGCTTTGATCAACAACAACCTAATAAAATCCCTTCATTATTTGAATCTACCAATTCACCATCTAAAAAACCATTGGGAATACCTTTGCCAAAAGGGGGACCTCCTCCTCCAATGTCTGGTGGATCAAATTTTCCACCACCTCGTTCACAGCCTCCACCGCCTCCGCAACCTCCAGCTTTGGATTTGACGCCAAAAGTGCCATACTATGAATTACCTGCTGGAATGATTGTTCCACTCGTTAAAATGGAGGATGTTACGGTTTCTTAAATTTTGACCATTTTTCTTTAAAGATTTTTAATTTTTCAGTATAACCCGCTAAAAGAGAAGGATTTGCGTCTTCCTCACCCCGACCCTCCCAGCGATAGTTTACTTCGAGAAATTGACCGTTTCTACAACGCCCTGCAATTTCCTCCACCAATTGATTGTATTAGAGATAAGTACGGGATTTTTTAGAGAATTTTAAGGTTTTTTAATTTTTTAAAATTTTCAGTGAGGGTTGGGAGATGAATGGACTTGTTGAGCATTATGTAAAGAAGGAAGATCATAAAAAGAAACTTGAGCTTAAAATGAAGGAAGAGGGAAAAACTTTGGAAGATGCTTTTACCAACAAATACATTCCGCCTAAAACGCCTCCAAAATCCTCGAAATCTCCGCCAAGACATGAAAAAAATAATGGAAGGTACTTTTTAGATTTTTTGAAATCTTGGAGAACTATCAAAAATCGGACAAAATGCCAATGAGTCTGCCAATGAAGGGTACAGCGAGTAGCGCGCGGCCATAATATTATACAATTCTTCTAACTACTTGGGCGTGTCCTAGTCAAAATGATAAGAAGAGATTAATAAATTTAATTTTGTGCTCTAAACTCAGATTGTTGGCAGGTTTTGCTTATGAATTGTTTTGAGATTTTTTTCCTTTATCATATTGAATCTTTGGCATTTTGTTCTTTTTGCTAGCGATATTTCACTTTTTGATGATTGAATTCTCAATAACCTAATTATTTTCCTTATTAGCAGATCTAATAGAAGTCGAAGGAGAACCCGTTCTAGAAGCCGAAGTTCGTCTTCATCATCAAGTAGTAGCAGTGGCAGTAGAAGTTCATCTTCAAGTTCAAGCAGTAGCCGTAGCCCTTCTCCTAGAAGAAGAAGAAAATCGAGAAGGTTTTTTAAACATTTTTTGTTTTAATTATTCCTTTAAATTCAGTGCAAGTCCTGTTATAAAAAGAATTAAGCGTTCTCGCAGTCCAACACCAGACGAAAGACCGACGTTTGCAGTGCCAGTTGGACCGTAAATAAAATTTCATTTTTTAAATTTTTTTGTCTTTTTAGAGCCCCACGTACTTCAATTTCCTTCAAAATCCCTCCTCAACCTATAAATCGTGAAACAAATAAAGGCGCTCAATTAATGGCAAAAATGGGATGGGAAGGTAAAGGGCTTGGGACTAAAGAACAGGTTTTTTTAGGTTTTTGAAAGGAAAAAAAAATTTTTTTAAAGGGAATTGAGGAGCCAGTAAGTGGAGGAGAAGTAAGAGAAAAAACGGAGCAATTTAGAGGGCTTGGATCAAAACCTGACATTTATGAGCAATATCGAAAACAAATGAGTACACAAATGGCAAGAAGAATACACAAATTGAATTAGGAGAATAAATAATAAATGGGCGTCAAAGTTGTTTTGTCTTTAAAGAGCTTGAAAATTTAGTTTTGAGGTTTTTTTAGTTTTTGTTGGAGGAGAAAAAATTTTTTTGAAAGGGGAAAGGAATTTTAATTAAAGACGGGGTTTTCTTTATTTTTTGTAGCTACTGGACTAATTATAAGTTTTTGGAAGAAACGGGATTAGAGAATGGTTTCCACAAGGAACGAGCCGTCTCGATTCCTGAAAATTGGGAATTCTTGACGTTTTTTGGGTCAGGAATCCCGATTTCACGAAATCGGGAATTTTGTTTTCTTGTCGGCTCGTTTACTGTCTTCCACCAACAACTTAAAATAAGCTGTTGATGTCGATGGTTATCGGCCCAAAGGTCATTTTATATGTGGGATTTTTTAAAGAAAATTTTTATTCACTATTTTCTCTCAAAAAAGTAACAAAGTTATACTGGCTTTTCAGCAAATTTTGCAGATAAAACTTGCGGATCTGTGATATCACGGGTTTAGCAGAAGTCGTGTTGGATTTTTAAAATTTTCTTTGGATTTGTTTTCGCGTAGAAACGTGTAACCCGTGACATCCCTGGTGTGGGTCCTATTAAGTATTATAATCCCTACCTTTCCACTCCAAAGATTTTTCCTCTAATTTTTGTTTCAGTTTTCAAGCTTTTCTGTTTAATAAATAAAATCATTTTTTTTATTTTAACATATTTTCCCTAATTTTATTTGGTTTATTTTTTTTTTAATTTTTCATTAAAGTTAAATATGTAAAAATATTTTATTAATTTATTAATTATGTTTTTATTCATATTTTTATCTTTTCTATTGTCCAATTAAATTTTTTATTTTTAATTTAGGGATGAATTTATTCTTCAAAATTTTATTTTTGTCAAGATTGGTGTTTACTTGTTTGGCTGCTGTTGGTGGAGATGATGATAGATTGAATTTGTCAGCAATTTTACCTTTTGTTCCAAATTGGTTTGAAGAGCAAGGGAATATAGGATGGGGCATGAATTGGGATTTGTAGGTTTTTTTTAATTTCTTTAAAAAATTATAAAGAAAAATAGGATATGAGTTTGCTGTGAGCACATTTTGAAATTTTCTGGGAGGTTTTATGAACTGCTTTCTGGCTTCCTGAACATTGTTTTCCTAAGGTAGGTTCAAATGCTGGGTTTTCAGATTATTTAGAGTTGGGGAGATCTTGTTTTGTACAAGAGCTCAGCCGCTCCAAAAGTCGAATATTGAAACCCTGTAACTTTTCATTTTGTGGGTCAGGGCCAAAAATTGGCAATAGGATATCTACCCAGTCCTACACGATGGTATAAGTTTCATCTAAAAATTTTTGGTCATAGTGTAAAAAAGTTGGGGTGGTACCTAAGAGGGATGGGCTGATGGAATCCCTCAAATTTGGAAAATATTGTAATCCGCAATAATTCCGACCTCTATTTTAATGATGATTTTAGAAAATATTTGTCAAATATTTCTAATTTTAACTTTTACGTTTTTCAGGCGTGAACCAAAATCTGATGCAGATAAGCCAAGGGCTGTAAGGAATATCTTTTTTATTAGACATGGAATATATTTTAGAAAGAATAGAACTGTTGATGAACAAAAGCTTACTCCGCTTGGTAAAAATTTCAAGGGAAACATGTCAATTTTTTAAATTTTTATAGGACGTGAACAAGCCGAATTTCTTGGGAAACGATTGGCGGAGGTTAAGAACGAGTACAAATTTGAAAAATGCGTGTTCTCTACAATGCTTAGGTTTTTTCTTTAGAAATTTAATTTTCGATTCACTCGCGGCGGACTGAAATTTGTTGTCGCGGCAGACTTAAAATTGTTAAATTTGCTTTTGTTTATTCAAATTGCATGACAAAGCATTGAACTTCCAAACACCCAACATATTGTCCCAACAACCGGGGATTTTTTTTCCTACTTAATCTCTTTGTTGAATCTTTGTTTTCTCCTCTGTTCTTTTTGGGGGGTTAGCTTTTCAAGTCAAATAATTTAAAATTTAATTTTAATTCGGAGTGTTCCGTTGTCTTACATTTCAATGGCTTTTGGAGGGTTTGGAATTTTATTGGAATTTCAGGTCGCTTCTAATTCAAATTAAACTTTTAAAATTATTTGCTAAAACTGGTTTTTTTTTCTCGCTGTTGTTTTGTTACAACTATTTTTGCGCGCATTATCGCTAGTTTAAACTGTCTCGAAATTTCAGTCGCATTAATTTTCAATTAAAATTTCCTTTACAAATAAATAAAAAATTTTTGCAGAGCAAGACAAACTGGTGAAATAATAATTAAGCAAATGCCTCATTTAAAATTTAATTGCAAATTGGATTCAATTTTGGAAGAGGGGTCGCCATACCCTGCAGAACCGTTTAAATCTCATTGGAGACCAATAGAACCTTCAGTATATTTTTTTAAAGTTTTTTCAAAAATTAATTTGTTTTTTAGGTGTATCATTCAGAAGGAGCTCGTATGGAAGCCGCTTTTCGAAAATATATTCATCGTGCTGACCCTTCGCAGAAAGAAGCTAGTTATGAACTTATTGTGTGTCATGCGAATTTAATTCGTTATTTTGTTTGTAGGTATGACTAATTTTTACACATTAAGATCCCTTAAAATTAGGATGTGTTTTTTCAGAGTAGGAGGAACGGGGAATTTTATGAAGAACGGGGAATTTGTTTTGCGGATTGATTGGACGGAGAAGAGTTGATCTGTTGGTTTCTCCGTTTTCCCCTATTCCAAGGACGCGGTCAGGTCCTACTTCAACTAGAGCCCGGCTTGATTCGTTTTTTTTTGATTCAATTTAAAAATTCGTTTTGTCGACTGGGGTTACAGATTGTTGGTTGGTTGTTAGGTCTGTTGTTCTCTGTTTTTCCCTTTTCCAAGAACGGCGGTCGGGTCCTATTTCAAATTACTGCCCGGTTTCGATTTGATTTTAATCAAAAATGACATTTACAACATTTCCAGCGTAAAATTTTTTGATTTAAATTTTCATTTTACAGGGCTCTTCAATATCCACCTGAAGGCTGGGTGCGTTTTAATGTGGCACATACTTCAATAACTTGGATATTAATTCTACCAAGTGGTCAAGTAGCTATAAACACAGTTGGAGATGCTGGACATTTGCCTCCCGATAAACTTACTTTTCACAATGTTTAAAAATTTTTTTGTGAATTATTTTTATTTATGAATAGGAACGGGTGGATAATATTTTTTGTTTTTTTTGGTTTTGTGATCTCCCATTAAGCTTTTTTATTTTTACGGGTTAATTATTTTATTGTGTTTTAATAAAAAAAATTATTTTAATTTTTTTTTATTTTAATAATGATTTTATTTATATTTTACCTTTCTATCTGTTCTCTAATTTTTTTAAAATTTTATTTTAGGGATGATTATATTCTTTAGAATTCTGCTTTTGTTAAGATTGGCTTTTACTTGTTTGGGTGCTGTTGGTGGAGGAGGTAGTGAATTGTTAAAATTCCCTTTTGGTCCAACTCATGTAAACTGGTTTGAAGCGAGAGGGAAGCTGAAATGGGACATTAATTGGGATTTGTAGGTTAATTAGATTTTTACTTTTTTAAATCTGAAAAGGAAGCTCGATCCTTAGCAGGGGTTTTTGAGTTTTTTATATCACATTTTAAGTATTGGGCTTTAGTTGACCTAAACGGAAGGGAGAATTCAGGGCTCTGTTCTGGAAAAGGGTTGGGTTAGAGTTTCAAAATTCTCTCGAATCGGGTATCAGTTCGAAAAAAGAGCCTATGTTCGGGCTAAAAATGGATGATAAAAAAACGACCCATCCATGCTCAATCTAGTTTCAGGCAAGGGCATAGCCAGGGGGCTTTCGGGTTATACCCCCCCCCGAAATGGGGAAAATTCAAAAAAATTTTAGGAGGGAAATGATCAGAAAAGTGAATTTTTTATGCCTATAACCCCCAAAATTCAAAAGCCCTAAAATCGACCTTTTGGCTACGCCCTTGGTTTCATGTCGATTCAATTTTGGATTGATTGTTCACCATAAAATTCCCCGGGATGTCTTGATTTAATATTTCACTTTAGCCGTGATCCACGTGCAATTGTAGAACACGAAAATGAATTGTCTGGGATGACTCCTCAACAGCTTAAAGATTTAATTGCAAATAATACACCAAAAGCTACAAGGAATATTTTTCTTATAAGGCATGGTCAATATAAGAAGGAAAAGGCTAAAGAAAAAAAGAAGCTTACTCCACTTGGTATTTAATTAAAAAGATTTTTTTAAATTTCAAAAATTTCACAGGGCGTGAACAAGCAGAATTTCTTGGAAAAAGGTTAACAATGGCAAAAAATCAATTAAAAATTGACAAGTGCGTGTTTTCTACATTGATTAGGTTTGACTTTAAAATTAATTTTCGAAACTTGACGACCTTTGAAATTGTTTTCTGCACAATTAAAGCTTGTTATGGTCCTTAAACTCGAATTAAACCCTTTGGAGTGACTTGAAAAGATTTATCCTTCAAGTAATCCTCGGGGTGGGACTGGCCGGCCTGTTTTTTAGAGCACATACCTCTTTTCTGTCACCCTGAAACTCGGCCCTGGATACCAGGGAATACCTGTGACCCGGACGTTTTTTCAACTCAAACCCGATCCGAAAAAAATTTTGAAGACCCGTCCCAAATATTTTTTTCGCCCTGTTGCCCTTGCCGTCCTATCAAAAAATTTTTTTAAATGTATAAATAAATTTGTAGAGCAAGAGAGACGGGTGAAATTATGGCGAAGCAAATGCCTCATTTAAAAATTGGATGCACCTTGGATTCGATGTTGGAAGAGGGGGCACCTTATCCTGGAAATCCTTCTTTTGGTTGGAATCCAGGCTTTTTTGTATATTTTTTTATTTTAAAAAATTAAAATTTACATTTTTTTCTTAGCAACTTCACACTGACGGTGCAAGAATTGAAGCTGCATTTCGCAAATATTTTCATCGTGCAAAGCTGTCTCAGAAAGAAGATAGTTTTGAACTTATTGTGTGTCATGCTAATGTGATTCGCTATTTTGTTTGTAGGTATGTGACTAATTGATTTTTTTAAATAATAAGCTAAAAGATTTTATTGATGGAAAATCAATAAATAATCTCTCTAGCCTAACCATTTTTTTTGATTTTTCTTGGCAATGAATTAGTAATTTTTGAGTAGCAAGGTTAAAATGATGATTTTTTCCCCTTCTGATTTTTTCCGATTCTTCCCTGTTTTTTAATTTTTATTTTCCTGGGTTCGGAAATGGTCAACTTATTCCCGGCTTGTTTTATGTATGGCCCGCGCAGTTTCTTGCAGCTTGTGAGGAGGTTTCTCGCAGCTTTACCTAATGCCGATTTTTGGCTTTTTTTTACTTGGGGCTAAAATCGACAACTAATGTTAGAAGTTTTAGGAACGTTTGAGTCTACTTTCCCTATAGATTTCCTCTCCATTCTAATAATTAAAATTTTTATATTTTTAAAGAATCCTTCAATACCCTCCCGAGCGATGGGTGGTTTTCAATTTGGCTCATACTTCAATAACTTGGATAGAAATTAAACCAGATGGCCATATATTTATCAAAACTGTTGGAGATTTTGGACATTTGCCGTCAGGAAAAATTTCTTTTAATAATGTTTAAATTTTCTGTTTTTTTTTTTAAATTTACGAGTATTTTATAAGAAAATGAACGGGTGACAAAATATTTAATTTTTTTGTTGATTCTAAGATCTCTCCTGAAATTTTTATTATTATTCTAGATCTCTCTTAAACTTTTGATTTTTACGGGTTAATTATTTTTGTGAAATATTTATTTTGCGGTACTTTTCGTTATTCCTATAGGTTTTTTGCGGACAAATTTTTTGAAAGAGACTTAGGTTGTTTGCAATAGGTCCTTTGTATTCCCATGAATTTTTTATGGGAATGGAGAGGGTTATAGCAGAGGTGGGTCGGAACAGTTAGAGGTGTCGGAAATAGGAACTGTCGGAAATCGGACTGGCTCAAAAGTCGGAACTCGGAAATCAAATTTTTTTGCGGAAATCGGAAGGAAAAACCGTCGGAAATCGGAATTACGACCCACCTCTGGGTTATAGTAATGCTTGCTTGGAGGAGATATTGGTCATGGAATGTTTCTTTTTCATTTAAATAAGCCCCTTTTAAAAAATTTATTTTTTCGCGTCGAGCCTATAGGAATAAAGGAAAAGTACAATTTTTTGCTTCAATAAAATTTATTTTTGATTTTTTGTTTTTTTTTCATGTTGGTCTTTTTCCTTATTTTATTTCTTTTTAAACTTTATTTTTTTTTTCAGCTTAATTTTTTTAATATTTTTTTGATGAATAAGTTTATTCAATTTCTTAAACAACAAAAATTGGTTTTTTTGGGTGCTGCAGGTGTTTATGGTGTAGGTTGTTTGTATTTGTCAACTTTACCAATTGTTCCAAGCTCTGAAGAAAAGAAAATTAGATATGGGTCTGTTGAAAAAGAAGCAGTAAATGTAGGAAAACCACAAAATGGTGTTTGGACTGTTAGTGTATATGAAGAGGGTGTGGTAAAGAAATGGGACAGCAATTGGGACTTGTAAGTTAATTTTTGAAGTTGAAAAGGCGATAATTTTTTTTTAATTTTTTTTTTATAAAATTATGCTACTAGGGCTAGTTGGAAATTCCTATTTGTGTTTTAATGACTCAATATGACGTTGGGTTGGTGCCTGTTTATGTTTGAGATCGAGCTGGTCCAAGGCCAGAGTTTTCCCTGTATTCTGAGTCCAGTTCCTGGCATTTTTAAAACCTTCCTGGGTTTTTCCTGGACTACAGGCCCAAGATCCGGCCCAGGTTAATGAATCAAGCCAGGAACAAGCCCAGGCTTTTCAAAAATCTCGATCTCTACTGTTTATGTTTGAGGTCCTCGTTCATTTGGAGAGTATTTTCTATTATTTCTATTTGAAGTATAATTAGACGTTTTCTTGTTTTTCTCACGTTTTTCTCATCTTATTTTAGTCGTGATCCTTTGTCAATTGTAAATCACAAATGTGAAAGAAAGGAATTGACTGAACAACAAAAGGAGGAATTACTTGCTAAATGCACGCCAAAGGCTGTGAGGAATATTTTTTTAGTAAGGCATGGACAATATTTTGATCAGGAGGATGAAAAGGATGCGAGGAAGCTTACTCCTTTAGGTATTAATTTAATGAAATTTTTTGATCTTCGTATAGATTTGTTAAAGTCTGGTCGGTTTCGAAAGATTTTGATCTGGGTTTCAAAATTCTCTTTGAATCGTGTTTCGGATCGAAAAAAAGATCTTGGTTTTGGGTAATCCGACCGCCCCTCGTTGTAGCTTTTTGGATTTTTTTTGTTGGAGGGCAGGGGAATTCTTTTTGAATTTTTTTCCTTTTTCCTGACTTCAGGGTCTCATGTCACCGATTTTTAATTTTTTTTCTATTTTTACAGGTCGTGAACAAGCTGAACTTCTTGGAAAGCGTTTGACTGAAGCTAAAAATAAATTTAAATATGACAAATGTGTTTTTTCTACTTTGATAAGGTTTTCTTCTAAAAAATTAATTTTCTAAAAATTTTTAACTAGAGCAAAAGAAACGGGTGAATTAATGAAGAAGAATATGCCCCATTTAGAAATTGAGTGTTCTTTGGATTCCATGTTAGAAGAGGGAGCCCCATACCCTCCAGAGCCACCAATTTCTCATTGGAAACCGAAATCTGCAGTATTTTTTTGAAATTTATTTTTAATTTAATTTATTTTTCTTCAAGCAGTTCCATACTGACGGGGCAAGAATTGAAGCTGCATTCCGTAAATACTTTCATCGTGCAAAGCCGTCGCAGAAAGAAGATAGTCATGAACTTATTGTGTGTCATGCAAATGTTATTCGTTATTTTGTTTGCAGGTATGACTAATTGAGAGGGGTTTTTAATAGTGGGGTGAAGCTTAAGGGGCATGGGAGTTTTCTTTATATGCACCCATTTGTGCGGGAATATTTATGAAAGGGAATAATTGAAAAAATTGATGAGTCATCGCGTGTGGGGGTGACAATTTGCTTTCGGTCTGAATTTATAGGTGATTAATCAATTCCGCTGACATTGAGTAAACCCCAAAACTTTTTTTTTGTTGATGAACAGCGTAAACCCCAAGGTTTTTTAACCCTCAATCTTAACCATAAGAAAGGTCTAGCTAATGGAATCAAGATTTCATTGGTTCCCTAGAGCTTTTTAAAGATTGAGGATAGGTATCGGATTGATATTGTACGAAAAATTGAGATCGATATAAACGATACTCGAAAGAATTTCCATCTCGATAACTGAAGTTTTTGTTCGAGCTCTCGTCTCGGTCTAAAGTTGATTTTTCTGGTTTTAAACAAAAAATCACTTCTCGCCTCCAAAAAATTAAAAAAAAATTTTTTTTATCAGGGCACTCCAATTCCCTCCAGAAGGATGGTTGCGTATTACATTAGCTAATAGCTCAATAACTTGGTTGCAAATTATGCCAAATGGTCGTGTAATTCTTCGAGCAATGGGTGATTTTGGACATTTGCCTCCAGAAAAGATTTCGTTTTCCTAAAAAATTTTGTTAAATTATTTTTAAATAATAATAAGGCGGTGAAAATATTCTTTTCGTTGTTGTTGATTTTAGATCTCCAACGGACCTTGGGTTATAAATTGTTTGGGGGACATTGTGACGGACGTAACGTGATAGTGGAATATACTGAAACAGCTACTATACGGGGATTGGGACTAGAGATCGAGATTTTTGAAAAGCCTGGACCTGTTTCCTTGACTCTGGGTTTGATTTATTGACCTGTAGTCCAGGAAAACCCAGGAAGGTAAAAAGTATCTGGACTGGGTACAGAAAAACCCCAGGCCTCGGTCCAGCCCCAGCTCGATCTATAATCGATACCTTCGGGCACTAAGTCTTTTGTTTTAGAACCAACGTAAATACTCATGAAATCATTTTTGTCCCCAAAATCCCTCGATATGTCCGTCCCTTGATATGTCTGGCTCCCGTTAAATTAATTTTATTTTTTGTTTTTTGCTTTAATAAAAATTTGTTTTTAATTTTTCTGTTTATTAATTTGTTTACTTCATTTAAAATATTTTTTTTAAATTTTCCATCTTGTTACAAAATTGTTTTTAGCGCTAGAATATGCGTGAGTACAAAATTGTTGTTTTAGGAAGCGGTGGTGTTGGAAAGTCTGCATTGACTGTTCAGTTTGTTCAGGTTTGTATAAATATATTTTAGTGGTAGGGTTTCGGGTCGAATTAATTTGTGGGTAACACGAGGCATGTCAGCAATGAGTGCTGAAACATTTTTGATTCGATATTGTGGTTGAGTTATTCGAGATTGACATTGGTATTGCGCTTAACCCTGACTTGGTTGGAAGCCTTTGTGTTATTATTTGTATTTTGGTTATCGTGAGGCCTATTCTGTTAATCAATTTTGTAGTGAGTTTAATGCAAATTCCTTGAAGTTTCAAAATATTTAAAGCTTTACCCTTTAACTCAGTTGCTATAGGGACCAAAACTAATTCAATTCTAATTTAATTAAAAAAATTTTTTTTCAGGGCATATTTGTTGAAAAATATGATCCTACAATTGAAGATAGCTACCGAAAACAGGTTTATTATAAACACTCAAAAAATTATTTAAAATTTTATTTTTACCTTAAAAAAGGTGGAAGTAGACAACCAACAATGTATGTTGGAAATATTGGACACTGCCGGAACTGAACAGTTTACAGCCATGCGGGACCTTTATATGAAGAATGGACAGGTTTTTTTAATTTAAAAAGGATTTTTAAGTTGTTTGGTTTTCAGGGTTTTGTACTCGTTTATTCAATAACTGCTCAATCAACATTTAATGACTTGATGGACCTTCGTGATCAAATTCTTCGAGTGAAGGATACAAACGATGTATATTTATTTTTAATTTTTTAAAGTTTTACACTCTTTGAGATAAGAGAACTCTGGAAATAAGGGTTCATCACAAAAATTAGAATACTTAAAAAAACAGCAGGCCCAAAGACTAAACGGCCATAACATAAAAAGGCCGTTTAAAGTCATTTTTTTCAACACCCCCAATAGGATATCAATAGAGGACCCCTAATAGGAAGTTGGGGTTCCTCTATTAAATTTTGCCAAAAAAATATTGAATTATTTTGTACATAATATTGGCAATAAAATTTTTTCCTTTGTTAGGATGAAATTTTTCCTTTCCCCGTTATTCTTTTTTCTTGAATAAGGGGAAGTGTGATGACCTTTTAGCTATCCAAAAATGGATTTAGTTGCCAAAAATTTTATTTTTCAAAAAAACAATTTTCAACCTTTTTTTAAAGGTTCCAATGATACTCGTTGGCAATAAATGCGATTTGGAGGATGAACGAGTAGTTGGGAAGGAACAAGGCATAAATCTTGCTAGACAATTTAACAGCGCTTTCACTGAGGTTTCTAAAATTTTTTTTTAATTTTTCAAAAATTTTTTAGACTTCAGCAAAACAAAAAATCAACGTCCACGAAGTTTTTTATGATTTGGTTCAACAAATCAATCGACGCTATCCAGATTCTGGTCGCCGTCCAAGCAGCAAAAAGTGTTGGAAATGCTCTGTTCTTTGAGGAAAACTTGGGGGAAAGGTTGTTTTTGGTTGGCATTTTTTTGAGTTTTTTTTTTAATTTTTAAAAATTAAGCCAAGCTTATTTTTGCCGTAAATTGACTTTCTAGTTAAAAAAAATATTTTTTAAATTACCTTAAGTATAATGACTAATTTAAAATTAAGTAAGAATTTTTTTTTATTTTTTTGGTGACCAGCAATTTATTTTTTTATTGACAATTTTGAATTTTGTTTTATTAATTTTGTATATTTTATACCTTTTTTTGAAATTTAAAGGGGGTGCAATCAGAGGAAAAAATTTTTTTTAATTGTTAACTTGGGAAAAGATTTTTGAGACAATGAAAAATTATTTTTAAGAAAGGAAGAATATGAAAAAAAGTTGATGGGTTAGATTTACGGTTGTTTTTCAGTTCCCAGAAAATCAAAATGTTCCATGGTCCCTGTTTTTTCTGGTCGGTTCAGGGATAGAGGGTTCCTACTAGGGTTGGGGTTTTCGAGTCGGGCCGACATTCGAGTCATTTTTTTCGACGGCCCGACCGAGTCGTTTTTCGGACCAAAATTCAATGCCCGACTCGATCTTTTGTACCGGGCCGGATCGGGCCCCCAACCATAGTTCCAAGTTGCCGTAGAACACTGAGGAGAAGGAAAAAAGTGGACGTGGTAAGGCCTAGGTCTTAAAATAAATTTTTTTATAATTTTATTGTCCTATTTAATTCTGAAATAAAGAATAAAAAAAAGATTTGCACCCCTTTAAATTAACGAAATTATAATTTCTAATTTTCTGACTAAAATTACCTGAAATTTAAAATTTCGTTTATTTTTTGTGCCCCTTATTTTGTTCGAATCAGGGACGAGAATCATCAATTTTTCTGTCATTCTATTAAAAAAAATTTTCTTGTCCATTTTTTAAAAATTTTCTTTTTAATTTTTCTTTTGATGATGATTACTCGTCTCTGTACTCGACTAGATGCCTTTTAATTTTTTTTTGTTTGTGTAAAAAAATCCAAGTCGTTTTTGAATTAAAAATAAATAAAAATACTTAATTTGAATGAATATTCCAAAAAAAAATTTTTTTTTTAATTAAAATATAAAGTATTACTCCCTTATTATAGAAAAGCTATGTAAGAAAACAGCCTTCAACTCCCCGTAATCCTGAACCACGAAAGAAATCTTTTTAATTAAAAATTGTAAAATAAAGTGAGCTTGAATAACTACTGAAGACTTTAAAGGGAAGCAGAACTAATAAAATCCTCACATAAGACCTTATGTGGAATCATTCCTTTATGTTAAGGGAGCAATATTCTTTTATTTCCAAATAATTTTCTTTCCATTTTTTTTACTAAAAAACTTAAATATTGAGAGAATAAGAAAAAAAAAACATTTCCATTTGCATCAAAAAAATGCGTTTATATATTTTCTAAAATTTGTTGTGTTGTTTTTTTCTAAATATTATATTATCTATCTATATTATTCGAAAATTGTACTTTCTTTTATAAGAGACTTTTCTTTTTTAAAAATAATTATAAATTTATTTTTTGTCTACTCAAGTTGTTTATAAGTCGACTCCGTTTTTACATACACCCTTGAATACTTAAATAGGGGGTATAGTTTATAATGAGGCGAAACAACCTTATAACGAGGTGTCCTTATAGTGAGGTGTTCTTATAATGAGATTTAGCCTAAATAGAGGGTTTCGCTTGATAGCTTCCCCCCATCTAATGGTTAATATAATTTTTCAAAAATTAGATATTAAATTGAGGTGTATTTTGAGGGTTGTATGTAATATGGTTCGACCAATATATATCTCTTTCTTCTCTGATATAATTGTAAAAGTAAACAAATATTTATTTTGAATTAATTCTATTCTGTTTTTCTATTTAAATTTTGGTAAAAATTCTTTCAAGATTAATCTTATTTTTATCCGATTGATGTGCAGTTTTGGTGTAGTTGGAAACGCCTATGTTTTCGTCAGAAATGGTGAGGGTTCGAATCCCACTGCGAGAAATAATTTTTATTTGACTTATTTTCGTTAGTTTTTTAGGTTTTAACAATTTTCTAATATCAAAGTGATAAAAAAGATAATATTTTTGATAGAATTTATTAACTAATTATTTAAATAAAAACAGATTTATTGCTAGGTTATCCCGAAAAAAATTAATAAAATATTGTAAAATGAGCATGACTAGTTTTAAATAAAATTAAGGGTCTGACACAGTAGAATTCTACAGAATTTAACGAGTTCTGTCATATTTTTAAGCGTAAAAAAACTAGAGCTCGGACCTAGGCCGGAACCTGATTTTATGGGTCGTTGACGGGTATCTTGACAAAATCCGGGTTTTCGAGGTTTTAGCCCTGGAAATCTGTTTAAAAGAAAAAGAGCCCTGATTTAAAAGAAGAGGGCCCTATTTGAAAAGTTCTAGCTCTAATGAAAACCCCCCTTTTAACCAATAAAGAAGAAAATTTTTTTGAAAAATTCCCCAATCACTTTATTTTAATCCTTAATTTGGTGGAGGTGTATTTTCAGCACTGCTGCACTCTCCCATCACATAATTAAAACATTGGCACTCGATTAGATGATTAACCCCTTCATTAATTAAGTTTTCCAAATGGTGAATATATGCAATAGCTAGGCGAAGGGTATCAACTTTGCTAAGACGGCGATCACTGAAATTTTTTTGAATTAATGAAAAGAGTACGGGAAAAGAAGAGAATTTCTCTGACTTTAGAGATAATTTTTATCCTATAGAGAGACTTTTTTCTACGATACTCTAAATTTTATTTAAGAGCTGAAAACCTACTTTTCAGTCAAAGGCAAAGTGTTCTTCAACCTCGTATAACCATCATTAACTTGTCTAACTCGAATCCGTTCTCGTTCATTTCGTTTCCAAACGGTTGTTCCGTGTGTGCTAAATTGTTAAAATTAATCTAAATTTATCTAGTACCTTCTCAAAACGTAAGGGAAGGATGTAGCAGTGTAAGGGAAGGATGTAAGGGTGTAGGAAGAAGCATATAGCTTACTCATCTTCAGACAGGCCTAAGGTTCCCTCAAAAGTATTCTAGCTTCGAAATATGCCGCCAGCTTTGATCAACCCTAACATTTTTAGTCTTGAACAAATCTAAGTGTATCTTATTCGAAGCCCGTATCTCTCTTTCCAATGGATCCAGATGACTCAATTAAAGTTTGTCAAGGATAAAAAAGTAAAGTTGATTAAGGTTGTCTAGGCTCTCCAACGCTCTAATATATCCCTCCAAACCTTAAATAAAAATTTCTTTACCTCAATTCATTCAATTCATGCGGTAATGGTATTTTAGCCTCTTCCGAGAAGGGGCTAATAAAACGATTTACACCCAACACCTCTTTTGGACTTTTAACCGGTGTTGTCATTTTAGGCATTTTTTGCTGTAATTCTTGTTGCCCATTATCATCCTTTCTTTTCCTTTTAGTTCCTTTTTCTTGGGTAGGTGGAACAACTATCACGCTACTGCTTCTTTCTGAAAAGAAAATTAAAGTTGCGTTTAAATTCAAACTTCCATAGGGGAGAAGTCCACTTCTATGACCCTCTTTTAGTTTAATCCCTTCCTTATTCTCCTGTCATTCCCAGGTTAACTTCCCTTCTCATGCTCTCAGGTACCTTAATTACCTAATAGCAGTAATTGATAAACCTCCCTCTCCGGCTTCGTTAAGCTAGAGAGATCATTAAGCTCTCCAGTCTCCTCGTTAAACCCCCTCCCCTCTCCGGCTTCATTAAACCCTGAGGAAGTCCTCCTACGGCTGAAGAAGTCTCCTACGACCCCGAGGAAGTCTTCTACGGCTTCGTTAAACCCTGAGGAAGTTGTCCTCTTATTGTTCCTTTCTTCACTTTGAAGTTCCTTCCCTCCATAACTTCATGCCCTAAAAATTCTAGGACTCATTCCTTTCCTCAATTTAAAATCTTCAACTTTTCTACAAAAATCGACACTCAGTTCTATATTAAAAACAATTTTTCAACTTAAACTTACGAAAAGCAGAAGCTTCTAAATTTACATTAGCAAAATTAACGTTTTGTACAGCAGCTACACACAATGCATGCTGTCGTTCTAGAAGCATTTGTTGTTGTTCATTAGTGAGGATATCTATAGTTAAGGGTTGTGATTGGTCATTTATTGGATTATTATTCATTATAGCTTAAAATATTTTGAGTTTTTAATCTCTAAATGTGTTAAAATAATTTTCAAAAATACACGAAAAGACAATAGAAAAAGAGGAGATTTTCTCTGACCCCAGAGAAAATTTTTTGAAATTTTGATTTAATTTAAATTTAAGATTTTAGCCTACAGGTCTAAGAGTATTAAAATCATTAAACGATCTTATTGTGCCCATTACCTGAGTATTTTTAGGGGATTTCCAAAAAAACACTTAAAGACAATGGAAAAAGAGGAGATTTTCTCTGATGCTAGAGAAATTTTTTTAAATTTTTAGCTCAAATTTTAAACCCTGAGGTGTAAGTCTTGAAATCATCAAACGATTTTATCGTACCTATTACCTGACTGTTTTTAGGGGATTTCACAAAAACACGAAAAGACAATGGAGAAAGAAGAGATTTTCTCTGATGCCAGAGAAATTTTTAAAATTATTAGCCTAAATTTTAAACCCAGAGGTTTAGGCTTTAAAATCATTAAACGATTTTATTGTGACAGCTACCTGAGTGTTTTTAAGAGATTTTCACAAAAACACGTAAAGACAATGGAAAAAGAAGAGATTTTCTCTGACGTTAGAGAAAATTTTTTATTCTTGCTAAATTTAAGGGTTCAATTTTAAACCCAAAGGTTTAGGCTTTAAAATCATCAAACGATTTTTATTTTGCCTATTACCTGACTGTTTTTAGAGGATAAAATAAAAATATTTTTGCCTTCCTCTCCCCAACTGACTGTATTTAGTAGGCTTACTTTTGCCTTTTACCGCATTTAGCTTTAAACAACCGCCCGCCTCTCGTCAATCAAACAGAGAGGAGTGAATGTGTTTTTCCAATTGTGGATGGATATTCTTCTCTATATCAAAGCTTTGATTTTTAGAAAAAAAATTTTTTCCAATTTTTTTCTCTCAAAATTAGTCAACAATAAATACACACCTTCACAAGCCGTTTGCCGACTACCGACTTTTTTAGAGATAAAATTTTGGAAAAATTTGTGCAGCTGTCAGGGAATATATAAAAATTATTTTAATAATTATATTTAATTTTTGGGGGAGTAGAGAAATAAAATAATAAATAATTTTTTAAGACGAAAATACAGTGGAAAAAGAAGAGATTTTCTCTAACGCCAGAGAAAAGGGTTCTCTAAAGTGAGGAAAAATTTTAATCAAAAATTTTTTACATAATATACAATTTATCAATTTTTATTCGCGTAAAATTAAAATCACCGGACATACAAAAAAATTAATTGGAAAATGCATTAAGAATATTAAAGTCGAATCTCATTATAAAATACACCCTTGTGGTGAAAATTACCTTATAGTGGGGTACCCTAAATTGTGGGTATTTCTAGAGAAATTGGGGGTAACTCTTAATTTTGAGTTTATCTAGAATTGAGATTCGGCTGTATAAGAATTTAGAGAAAATCCAAGTAGACTTAATAAGTTCGTTTTGTAAACTTACCCGGTTAAAGTCGAGTTTTGGTTGATAAAAGGGGAATACTTGGGCGCTAACTTATTAAAAATATTTTTTTAATATAAAACCTTGCCCAGATATCTACTAAAATCGTTGACTGTTTCCTTAAAAAATTTCAGAATTTCTGGTTTTGTATTTCTAAAGTTACGGTCAAAAATGTTAGCATTTTCTTTAAAAATTCTGATTTTTTGGAGTTTTTTGACCAGAACTTCTGAAATACTTTATCAAAAATTCTGAAAATTTCAGAGATGATGGAGAACATTATCCCAGATATCTCTGCTAAATTTCATGATTTTATATCATGTATAAGTTGTATTTTTATAAGTTAACGCCCAAGCGTTTCCTGCGCCCAAGCGTTACTTAAAAACGAAAATTTTTAAAAAAAAATTCTGGATTTTTTTGAAAATTTTTTTTGAAATTTTTTTTATATTTTTTTTTCGTTGACAAGCATCCTATCATCTTCTCCAAGGTCTCCTTTGAGTTAATTTTTTAGAATTTCCACCATTTTTCCCAAATCCAAAATCGCTGTGTGCTCTAGGCCTTTCAATAGTTGCCCAATCCTCCTCAGTATTTTCTTCAAAATTTCCAACTTGTTGGGATCCAAAATGCAATATTTCTTCTAATTCGTTTACAAAAGAAGGGGAAGAGGAGGAATTTGTGGTTGTTGTTGTTGAGGAAGTTGGGGAAGAATTTTTTGGAATTTTTGAGGAGGAAGTGGACAAGAAGGAAATTGGGGGAGATAAGGTGTCTGGCTGTTGTTGATTTATTTCAAGTAAATTTTCTGTTAAATTTTTGTTTTGGTTTTGATTATTTTCTGGTGTTGGGAATACACTGAAAATTTGAAAAAATTAAATTTTAAAATTAAAAAATTTTCTCTGGGGTTAGAGAAAAATCTCTTCATTCCTGTTGTCTCTAGCTTTTGAGAGAAATTCAGGTACGGTATTTCCTCCATTATCCCAATCTTTCTACGACATATCCTAGTATTTATCTGATATTTTCTAAGGTATTTTCAAGGTGGGATACAATAGAGATTATATTCTGCCTTCCAAATGTCAACCTGTGTTTTACAACATTAAGGCTCCTATCTCCTATCACTAATATACCCCACACTCCCATAAAGCTTTGTGTTGTTTCAAAGAAAGGTTCAGTTAGGTGGAATATGATAGACATTGTAATGGGATAATGTAAGGATTGATATAGGGGATAGGATCGGGATTGATTGATATCTATCTTACCTCATCTAGGTGGGATCAGATAAAAGGTTGGCTAATTCTAAACTTTATCCATTTGGGGGGGGGGGGATAAAGTAGAGATTTTTGGTATGATAAGACAAGGCTTTAGGATAGAGATTTCAAAAGTTTAATTTAATTATACCTAGTAGTAGTACTAGTAGTAATATTATTATTCTCTTCCCCTTCACCACTTCCCCCGCCAACATCACTAACGGCAACAGTACTTGGAGTAGTTTGACAATAAATATTATTATTATTCCCTTCATTTTCTTCACTATTATTTCTACTATTTGTATTATTATTTGAAATTCCAAGAATTAAATCATTGCCAGAACTGTTGAGTCGAAGTCTGGACATTGACTGGTCTGGGGGAACTGCTCCACGTGTATATATGTTGGCTAGGGCTGCTCGTAACTATTTTTTGAAAAAAATTTTCTTTCGAATTTTTTTAAAATCTTATTTGAACAATTAACTGATATGATTTTAACGAGTAATTGACATTTAATTAATTCAGAACAATTATTTTTTTATTTTTATTTACATAAAGGAGAACCCATTATTATCCAGGAAAAGGGCGTTAAGGGGCATTAACTACACTTAGTTGAAAAATTAAAAATGACTAAAAATTAACCTAAAGCCATGAAATTTTGTATAAACGTCTCTAATAGTGTTATCTACCTCCTCTAAAAATTTCAGAATTTTTGGTTTCATATTTCAAAAGTTAAGGTCAAAAAACTACCAAAAATCGACATTTTTCTCGAAAATTCTGACATTTCTGACCAGAACTTCTGAAATACGAAACCAAAAATTCTGAAATTTTTAACTCAGTTAGTTAACACCATTGTGCATATTTATGCAAAATTTTACCATTCTAACACTTAATTTGGATATTCTACAAATCGAGACTCTAATGACCCTTTACCCGCTAACGTCCAAATTTAAGCAGATTTTTACCTCTCTGAGTGCCACAACTCCCACTAAACGTCCTCTATGTGTAACATAAGCTAAAATAGTATTTCCTTGATTAAAAAATTCCTTTAATCCCACCATGATTTAAGCCTAAGAGAGAAAATAGTGTGTGAACTTTGTATAGACTTGTTCCAATAACTAATTGAAAAGGGGCTGCATCAATAGCCAATTCATCATCTAGGTCGATAGGTTGTCGAAGTAATGCAGAACGATTACGAGAAGAACGGACGCCGTCCAATTTCTGTTTTAGTTAGAAAAATTTATAAAAACCTCTATAATATATACAGTCAACTCTCTCTATAAGGTAACTCTCTATATAGTAAACTCTCGCCATAAGGATACCCTCTACTGTATATTATCTGTTAAAAATGTATAAATAACGGCAACCCTTCTAACCTAGATATACAGGTTTTACTTCAATGGAAAAATTCAATGTTCCGTTCACACTACCTATACTCCGAAGGGAACATAAGATTTATGGGCATGTGGTATTAAGTTTAAAATATCATAAATATAAAAAATATCAATATCAATGGCACCGATATTGTGGAGCAATTGATATGTATTATATAGGGAACTGATTTAGGTATTTTATGCCCACTTACAGAAGACAACGGCATTTGGTGAAATCCTTGTTGCCTTAATAATAATGGAGCTAGAACATTTCTTTCTGAAATAAATTTTTTTTAAAAGAATTTGATTAAAAATCAGAACTTGATCCTCTATCTTCATGCAGAGGACTGATTGAAAGAAGTGTATTTCCTATATAAAAAATAAATTTTAGGAAAGATACTTAACTTTAAGGGAATTTAATTCCAAGTTTTTAGAAAATCTCGTGTTCCGTTCACCCTACTCTATAGTCCGAAGGGAACATAAAATTTTTGTGGATTTTTGGATTATTATTTTAAAATGTAAGGAAGATAGGAGGTTCCAGCACGCTAGCGTTTAAAACGCTTTTCTAGGCGGGGAAAGGCTAGAGCATAAATAGTAGCTCTGTTAGTAGAGCAGTCTGCACGTGTGTGCAAAAAGCTCGCAGTAATTAACTGCCAAGGGGTCGCCGGATTTATGTCTGCCCGGGCTAGATTTTTACCTCCCGAGCTAGACCCTTACTATAACTAAAGGGTTACGGTTTTATAGAAAAATTGATGACGAAATCACCTACCAAACAAATTCCTTTCATTAATAACCGACATTTTTGGCGGCATTGCCCCAGGCAATAAACGCATGGATTCAACATTCCTTCTACTTATACTGTCCAATCTTTTATTGTTTAAATTTATATTTTCTCCAGTATTTTCTGTATTTGTTGTTGTTGTTGGTCTGCTTTTCCTTCTACGACTTCTATGTAATAATAAAGAAGGGTCGGGGCCAAGACGGTCAGTCAGTAAGAAATGAAGATATTTACGTGAAACAGAACCGAGAAGAATTTTTTCTTCTGGAATTTTTTAATTAGATTTTTAATTAAATATATGTATAGAGTAAAATATGGAGATTTTGACTTTTGACCATTTTGAAATTTTTAAAAAAATATTTTTGTTTTGAATTTGAAAGTGAATTTCGAATGGGTATACTGTATTACCCTATAGATATTATATACCCTAACAGGGGTAACTAGGGAACCAGAGGTCGATCGGGAAGGACGAAGATAGGAAATCAGAACTCTCGGAAATCGGAAATGGCTCAAAAGTCTGAATTCGGAAATCAGCCTAGATTTTCGGAAATCGGAAGGAAAAAAATCGGGAATCGGAATTCCGATCGACTTCTGCTGGGAACATGTGATATCTGAGAATGCAGAGATGAGCTGTAGACAATTGGGATAGATGGGATACCTAAAGGTCTAAAGAGTCTCTGACTTATCCCACCTCCTTTCATATCCCAAGTCGTTAGTTATTCCAATAATTAAAAGGTTGTTCCGTTCACCCTACTCTATAGTCCGAAGGGAACATCTCTCTCACCTTCGTCAGTAACCAACGGGTAAGATCTCAAATGAGGCGTAGCCAGCAGCAATTCTCTCAATTCTTTGTAGCTAGTTAATTTTGTAATGAAAACAACATCTCGAACCATAATCTTTTTGAAGCAAATTTTTTAAAATTAATTTCCTCTGTACCTGTTCAACTTTAAGTGTGTGTACACTAATACGAGAAGGTGGCAATTCTGCCAAATGAGGATATTTTCGAATGTTTATTATTGACCTGTGAAATTTTTTAATAATTTCTCAAATAATTAATTTACTCGTAAATAGAAGGCTGTAGAAAAGAACTGACAGCATTAGCTACCATTAGGGCTACCTGACACAAAAATTTTTATTAAAATTTGAAACAAGTTAAATTACTAAAACAGGTAATAAAGGACTCAGTTGTCCTGTAGTTTCGCATACAATAACGGCGATAGACAATGAATGGGTAACAGCACCTGTATAGGCTGCTGCTCCTTAAATTTGGTAATTTTTGAAAATTTCAAAAAATTTCCAGAATTCCTACCCACAACAGCATACAAGCCAGGATAAATTTGGGGACCATCAACACCTCTAATGCCTGCTGGAAACATAACAACCATCTAGGTAAGGAAAATTAGAAAGTTTGGAAAAAACGAATGACGCCTTAGGTATGTTCCTTACCGACTACCCATAGGGTGAAGGGAACATAAAAGTAATAAAGATGCCCCTAGCTTTTTTAGGAAAATTTAGAACTTGGAATGGTTAACTTGGAAAGGTTTAACGAAATATGGAAATAATAGAAAACAACATTGCCCATCATTACTTTTATGTTCCTTACCGACTACTCATAGGGTGAAGGGAACATAAAAATACTCTTAACGTTTTTGCAGATTAAAAAAGCCAAAAATAATAAATTCTGGAAGGGGTTGAGGATCTTGGAATATAAACAAGAAAAAAGTTAGGAGAGGGAATTTATTCTAATAGTAGCCCATTATTTTATTGTCATCTCTATTAAGCTAATCTCACCAATTCTCCAATAATTCTGCCCCCACAAGCACCAATCACAAAAGAGGGAACAAAAATTCCTGCTGGAAGGGCCAATGTTATGCAAATTGCAACAAGAAAAAACTTTAAAAATATTTCATAATTACTTCATTTACATACATACATTGACGAACAAATAGCCAATAAGTGCCGGGAATACATTTGGCCTTCAAAAAATATTTTTTTTTGAAATTTTCAGAATTTTTTTCATAAATTCTTTCACACCAGCTAACAAGTTCCGTTCACACTAATTATAGTCTGAAGGGAACATGTTCATAATCCATGCTCCTTTCTGATTAGTTGTAGTTCGAAGGGAACATGTTCATAGTCCATGTTCCTTTCAGATTAGTTATAGTCCGAAGGGAACATGTTCATAGTCTATGTTCCTTTCACACTACTTATAGTCCGAAGGGAACATGCTACTTTCACACTACTTATAGTCCGAAGGGAACTAGATTGAGGAACTTCATGAGGAACTTCATAGGGGAAAAAACATTAATTTTTTACATAAAAATAGTAGCATCCATTGATCCATCCAAAGCTGTAGATCTATCTGTTGGCCCTTCTCTTTCCCAATTATCTATAGTCCAACGTTGAATGATTTTAGCAGAACAACCCATAGAACTGCTAACATTATGCAAAGACATTGTACAGTTGGCAATAAAGTCTCCAAGAGTTTCGCGGAAGGTAAACTTAAAAGAGATTTAAACTCAAAACCTCATTTTATACCCGTCTGAACCTCGCTTTATATTCACTCAAGTTATAGTCTGAAGGGAACGTGTTCCGTTCACACTAGCGATAGTCCGTAGGGAACACTTTTTTAAAAATTTTGTTAGTCTCTGGGTGAGTGAGGATGTCTAAGCGATATACTCTATTTAGAGTACCCTTCATTATAGGTTCAGTCCTAAAAACTGAGTTCGGCACATTTTCTGCCTAAAACAAAAATAAAACACAAAAAAGGAAAAATTATTATTTTTGGGTGTGCGCCAAATTTATTTTTCAACACTCTAAAACGCCAAATTTTATTTTTGGCGTTCTCCTCCATTATGAGAAAAGATTTGCGCACAGCCGAAAATGTGATTTTCAACTAATCTCTTTTAAACTAAGGAAACTCGCCTTTCCCGCAAAAAAGTAACCAAAACCATCAGGATAAGTAATAATGCCAACAATAATGGCCATAAAAATTGTAAAAGAAAGGGAACTAGATGTTGAAAATATTTTTAATTTTTCTGTTAAAAAATTTACTTTCTCCCAAAAATTGCTTTGAATGTTCTATTCCTTTTTTTAAAGTAAGTAATTCGTCTATGGAGGAGAACAAAAAAGGCACCGAATAAACCACAAATCAAGCTTTAAAAATAAAATTTTTTAAATTTTTTTGAGGATTTTTTGAGTATTTTTTGAGAGAATCTGGAAGGAATAATTTTTGAAAAGGGAAGAGAGACTATTTCATAAAGCACTGGATTGATCTATTGTTGGATGACGACCTCAGTTGATTTAAATTGTTATAACTCTAGACTGGAGAATCCGATAAATTTGATTTAAAGATTATTAAATAGGGGAGAAAATTAGCTACTAAATTGATAAAAATAAAAATTTTGGAATGATAAATAAAGGAGTTATGGTAGAGAAAAGAACATAAGGTTGAAAATGGTGGAAGACAATAGGCAAGTTTAGCCTTTATAACTCAAGAGCGGATCGACCATTTTGAATATTTTAAGGACCATTTGATAGAGGAGAAAATTTGCTATAAAATAAGCTCAGTGAGAAAAATTTAAGAAAAAGACAAAAATGGTCATGGTCAAAAAATTTTAAAAATTTTTGTCAATAATACATGACCTTCGCATTGTTTTTTGGGCATAACTTTTCCCCAATAAATCCAAAATTTTTCATAATATATAATTTTAAATTACACATATGGCTCTATCAAACAATACCAAAATTTAATTTAAAGATAGCTTTATACGAAAGATATAGAAGCTGAAAGTCACCAGCCTCCTACAGTACCCCCAAAAATTAATTTAACTTTAAAAATTAAAAATTTACCCAATAATTACAAAACAAATAATTTCTTCAACTAAAAAGACTTCATTAGGAAAGCTAGTTTGATAATAAGCAGTTATTGTACCTTTAATTAAATTTTTAATTTAAATTTCCCCCATTTTACCAGCAATATGTGGGGGAATAATTGCAGCATTAGCAAAACGAAAAATCAAAGCACTACAAGTTGTAGCAAAGAAAGCTCGCCAATAATTTTTTACAGCAAAATATTTATGTGTACATTCAATTCCGTACAAAACTGCTGAAAAAATATTTTTTTGAAAATTATTTTTTAATTAAAATTATTTTAGGGCATTTGTCTGAGAGCGCCACATTTACGTAGAGGCTTATAAAAAATCCAAAAGTGAACCTAGCTTTATGAAATTTTGCATAGAGGTCTCTAATAGAGTTAACTACCTACTCTAGAAATTTCAGAATTTTTGGTTAAGTATTTCAGAAGTTCTGGTCAAAAAACTAACAAAAATCAACATTTTTCCTGAAAATTCTGAAATTTTTGACCAGAACTTTTTAAATACGAGACCAAAAATTCTGAAATTTTTACTCAAGGTAGATAGCACTATTTAGGAGGTCTATGCAAAATATCATTATTCTATATGCACTCTAAACTTTTTTGTAAATTAATGTCTAAACCACCCCTAACCTCCAGCAGGAGAACTAAAAGTACAAGCAATTCCAACAGAACAACCAGAAGCCAAAATTTCTATTTCTCTTCCCTCGTTCGAGAAAAATGCTGTGCTCTGCCATGCTTTTGTTAATTTACTTAACAAATGGCCTATTATAATTTTTAAATTTTTATTCGAATTTTTTAAATATTTTTTACCAACAATTGCCCCCATATGGACGAATGGTCCCTTAAAATAAAAATACATATTAAAAGGGAAAATGAACTTAGAATCGTAAAATTTTGCATAGAGGTCTCTAATACTGTTAGCTACCTCTCATAAAAATTTCAGAATTTTTGGTTTCGTATTTCAGAAGTTCTGGTCAAAAAACTACAAAAAATTGACATTTTTATCGAAAATTCTGACATTTTTGACCAGAACTTCTGAAATATGAAACCGAAAATTCTGAAATTTTTAAGTGAGGTAGAAAGCACTATTAGAGACCTCTATGCAAAATTTTAGATTTTTAGGTGCTCAATAGACAATTTTATAATCCTACGCAGAAACGTTATCTAACCCAAAACTTGCCTCTTTTCCAACAGGCAATCCACTCCCCAACGTTAACGTCAGAGAAAGCACTTTAGCTACTAATGTCCTCATAGTTAAATAATTGGGAAGAAAAAAGCCATTCATAATTACTTTCACTTCGGGAATTCCAGAACCTTCAATTTTTTTTAAAAATTCGAAAAAATTTTTTTCAAACTACCAATAGCTTGAGGAGAAATATATTTACATACGAGAGCTGCTGCTGTAACAAAAAATCCTAGATAACCAACCCAAGAAACAAAACCAAGCATTTTATCGTAATCTCGGGCAAAGTCGAAGAGGACAGCGCGATCTAAGGGGATTTTTAGAATTTTGATTTTACAAAAAATTCTGATTTTTTCAGAAAATTCTGATTTCTTAATTCTGATTTTTCAGAATAATTCTGATTTTCCAAAAAATTCTGATTTTTTAATTCTGATTTTTTTCAGAAAATTTCTGATTTTCCAAAAAATTCTGATTTTTTATTCTGATTTTTTTCAGAATTATTCTGATTTTTAGAATTTTTTAAATTTAGGTATATTATCAATTTTCAGAAAATCCCTCTCTTACAGTGATTCAAATATTCATAGCTAACATCTACAGATATAGAAAGTGCTGCAGTTATACAACCAAGTAAAGCAGAAATAAACCAATCTTCTACAAAGAAGTGTAGCTTTAATTAAAAAATTTTTGTTAATTAAATAGAGGAAATCCAGTAGTGGGGACTCGTTATATGCGACATTTCCCTTTGATTCATTTGAGTCGCTACTAACGAGAGTTGACTGTCTACAAAATAGAGGGTATTTAAAATATGTCTACTGTATAGAGAGTATCCACAATATGGAGGGTTTCTGCTATTAGGGTGAGTCAAAAGTTCGCGGTCACTTTGATTTTTACATTAAAAATTAAATAGCATTATTATGATCTATATATCAATCGAAAGCTTGATCAAAATCTAGCTTGACATGTTTCAGCATTTTTCTCAAAAATCAAAATTCGCCAAGATATTAGGGATATTAGGGATTTGGTCGGATATTGAAAATCCGTATTTTCGCGGATAAATTTTTTCGAGTAATACTCATAAAATATTCTGATTCTACACACTTTTATAACCTAAAATCAAAAAAAAGTGCATAAAAATCTTAATTTTCAACGAAGATATGAATTTTTGAAAATAGCAGTTTTTCAACAATTTATGGGAGAAAACATTAAAATATGAAAAAAATGAGAGTAAAAGTCCGTTTTTCAAAAATTCATATCTCCGTTGAAAATTAAGATTTTTATGCACTTTTTTTTTGATTTTAGGTTATAAAAGTGTGTAGAATCAGAATATTTTATGAGTATTACTCGAAAAAATTTATCCGCGAAAATACGGATTTTCAATATCCGACCAAATCCCTAATATCCCTAATATCTTGGCGAATTTTGATTTTTGAGAAAAATGCTGAAACATGTCAAGCTAGATTTTGATCAAGCTTTCGATTGATATATAGATCATAATAATGCTATTTAATTTTTAATGTAAAAATCAAAGTGACCGCGAACTTTTGACTCACCCTAATATATGGAGGTTGTCGACTAAAATAAGCTAAAAATCCACTACCAAATTAACAGCGTGCCTCTTCAAACCCTGCGCCATTGTTTCTTCTGGCCGTTTAAATTCATCAGAAGTACATTCTCTGAGCACTTCAGGGTCTTTGGAGAGTAGACAAGTTCCATCTCCAATGGGGGATGAAGGTTGGGAGGTACTGTAAATTTTTAAGTGAAAAAATTTATTCTGATTTTTTCAGAATAATTCTGATTTTCCAAAAAATTTATTCTGATTTTTCTCCAGAATAATTCTGATTTTACAATAATTTTATTCTGATTTTTTCAGAACGTGTCGACGCAGAAGACCCACAGACAGAAGACCCAAGGACAGAAGACCCACAGACAAAAGACCCACAGACAGAAGACCCACAAGGACAGAATACCCACAGACAAAAGACCCACAACTATTTTTTGTTTCCCTTTTATTATGCATAAATTTTGACGGAGGGATCTTGTTAGTTCTATTTGTTTTCCACAATAAGGGTTGATCCAACAGCGGGAAAGTTGTTTCAATATTAGGGAAGGTTGTTCCATCAATCTGGAGGGTTGTTCAAGCAGTGTGGGACGTTGTTCCAATAACAGGGAAGTTTGTTTCAACCATGGGCATGTTATTTTAACAATGGGAAATATTGCAACAACGGGTGAAGTTGTTCCAACGATGGGAATATTGTCCCAATTACCGGAGAGCTTGTTTAACGAAGATGGATCTTGATTTCCCGGATTATCGGGATTTTTATCCGGAAAATCCGGTACATGTCATGTCAAAAAATCTGGATCCGATCAGGTTCAGATATAAAAAATAGTATAAAAATAGCTAATTGGCCTTCCAAAATTTCCAAAATTCCTGTCTGTAACGATGAAAGGGAAAAGTAGATCAAAGGGATATTTAGAATCAAAGAGTATTTAGGATTAACTGAATTATAGCGAGAGTCAGTTAAGTCCACATGGAGGGATATAGAAGGATTTGAAGCGATCAAGGGCATTGGAGATATGCAATAATATCGGGGATCTTTGGAATAGTAGAGATTACTTATATTTCTGAGTAACATGGAGGGATATCTGTGGATAAAAGCGGATTAGTGGTAAAAGCTTAAAAGGTTTACATCCTTTGAAATTCCCAGACATATCCGATTTACTGTTAATTTCCTTCTCCTGGTTCCTGTTATATACAATTCACGGATAAGAATAGATATCGGCGGATTCGAGATTTTACCCCTATATTCTCTATATCCCATGCTATTCCTACATATCCTAATTAATCACCAGACTTTTCAAATCACTTTCTAATTAAGTGATCTAAATCGCACTCATCCATAAAATTTAACGCTAAAAATTCTTTTGATTAACCTTATAATAATTTTTTATATTTTAAAATTTATTAATCTTGTGCCTTGAGAAATTGGAAATCTTATTCAGAAATTTCAGAAAATTTCTTCTGAAGTTTTAGTTAAAAAATTTTTCTTGTGGGTCTTTTGTCTGTGGGTATTCTGTCCTTGTAGGTCTTCTGTCTGTGGGTCTTTTGTCTGTGGTTCTTCTGTCCTTGGGTCTTCTGTCTGTGGGTCTTCTGTCACTACGCCTTTTCAGAATATTTTTCAGAATTTTTTTAATCAACTAACAAGTTACGTTCACACTAGTTATAGTTCGAAGGGAACATGTTCATAGTCCATGTTCCGTTCACACTAGTTATAGTTCGAAGGGAACATGTTTCTTTTCGCAGGAGTTATAGCCCTACAGGAACATGTTTCTTTCACACTACTTATAGTCCGAAGGGAACTAAATAAATATTTCAGAATTTCTGCTCCCCCACGTTGATCTTTGTGGTTTTCGACTTTTGGGTTTACTCCCAATTAATTTTCTAAATTTATTTTTAACAATTATTTATTAACCTGTTAATTAGGCAATCAAACCCCATATTTAATTAATTAATTGACGGAAATAATTAATTAAAAAAAAAGAAAAATAAAATTTATTTTTAACTGTTCTCTCCCTCTCAACTTTAAAAACTTTGAAAAAATCAAACTCGTGAATGGATGAATCATTTTTGGTAAATTTGGTATCATTTGATAGAGGAGAGAATTTGCTATAAAATAAGCTGGAAAGCAGAATTTGAGAGAAAGGAGAAAAAATGTTGTGGACAAAAAATTGAAAAAGGGGTATATTCAAGAGACCAGCCTATTGCGTGTGACCTTGATCAACTTTTAGGCTTATATCTCAAGAATGGTTTAATATTTTAAATAACTTTTGGTACCATTCGAAAGAGGAGAAAATTTGCTACAAAATAAGCTGATAATTAATAATTTAGAAAATATTCAGAAAAAGTTATATTCTAAAAACTAGCCTTTAGAGAGAATATTATGTGTGACCTTGGTCAACTTTTAGGCTTATATCTCAAGAATGGATTAATATTTTAAATTGCTTTTAGTATCATTCGAAAGAGGAGAAAATTTGCTACAAAATAAGCGGATAGTTAATTATTTAGAAAATATTCAGAAAAAGTTGTGGTCGATAAAGTAATGTTGGAGCGAGAAAATAGAGGGTGACTTTGATCAAGTTTTAGTGGTATATCTCGAGAATGGATTAACCTTAAAAAGTCGTTTTAGTATCATTAAATAGAGGAGAAAATAAGCTACCAAAATAATTAAAATAAAAATTTTCGGCTGATAATTAAAAGAGTTATGGGCGAGAAAATAACATTGAGGTTGAAATCTGATGTACGACAATAGGTAAGTTTTAGCCTTATAACTCAAGAATGGATCGACCATTTTAAATAATTTAAAGATCATCTGATAGAGGAGAAAATGGGCTACAAAATAAGCTAAAGATCAGAAATTTAGGAAATCTAACAAAAAAGTTATGGTCAAAAAACTAGACTAAGTTAAATAAATTTAAAAATAATTTTTTTTAATTTTCAATTAAAAATTAGGTAAAATAGAAAAAATGCGCATTTTGTGTGGGAAAGAAGAAATGTTAAAAATATATAATTCTTTATTTAATTGATTACAATGCGTAGATAGAAAATAGAAGTAATCACAAAAAATAATTAAATTAAAAAAGGAGAAAAGTAGGTGGAGGGATGCGAAAAGATTTTGGTATATGTAGTAGCTAATTTATTTTTACCACTAAAATTTTTTTTTAGTTTTTTTGAGGGATGGAAAATGATAAATAAATTGAGGTAAAAATTATTAAAATGTATTTTTGTGTATTTCTGAATTTTCGTTTTTTTCTGTGTTTTTCTGAATTTTTCTGAATTTTTATGAAATTTTTTTGCCTTTTTTCTAAATCTCTTCGAAAATTGCCCTTTGATCGAGGGGCTATAACTTTACGAAAATAGCCCTTTGAACAAATAAATTTTTCGGAAATATTCTTAATAGTGATATCCTAGTTTGTGCCAAATTTAAAATTTTTTCGTTGAGAATTTCAAAAGTTATTGTTAAATTGGCTTATTTGAAAGGTGATCTTCTGGGTTGCTCATTTCATTATTTTTTAGCATAACTTGAGAAATTCTGATTCAAAAATTCTGAAATTTTTAGTGAAAATAGTCAATAATATTAATGATAATTAGACAAAATTTCAAGTTTCTAGGTAAAAAATTGACTGAGTTATGGGCGAAAGAATAGGTGTCACTTAGCTTATTTATGGTAAAAATTGAGTATTTTCCGGAAAAAAAAATTTTTTTTGAGAAAAGAAAAAGAAAAATTTTTTTACATTTTTTTTTCAATTTTTTGGCTTTTGATTTAAATAAAAATAAATTTTTTTGTGTTTGGTATTAAAAATATGATAAAATAATCTTTAATATTTCTTTAAATTCGATAATGATAATGGCGACATATTTTATTTAAATAAAAGAATGAAAAGAAAAAATTTAAAAGAGTAAATAATTAATAATTTTTTAATTTTGGGAATTAAAGCAATAAAGAATTTTAATTCAAAAAATTAAAAAAAAAATACATAAAAAATTAATAAAAAAATTTTGAAGAAATTTCGATAAAATGTATTTCTTGGTGTAGTGGGATATATTTTGTTTTTAGTGAGAAAAGGTTGAAGGTTCGAACCCTCTTGGGTGTAAAACTTTTTTTTTAGTTGGAAAAAAATATTTTTTAAAGTCTAATTTTATTTAGCATCAAATGAAGGCTTAAGAAAATTTTACGGACAAAAATTGCGGATTTTCAAAAATAAAAATTTAAATTAAAAAAAAGAGGGATAAACGAACCAACTCTTCAAATCCATGAAAACAAAATTTGGTAACTTAATTAAAAATATTGTTTAAGCTCGATATTGCGACTCCCTGTAAGCCTTCTTTTTCGTCACCGCTGTTTGTCCCCAGAGATACTTAGTAGTGATTCGGCCTTATTTGACACATCTCCTTCACTAAGTCTTCGTCTCTATTCGATCCCTAAACTGACGTATTATCGAGATTCGACTGTCCCAATTTTATTTTTTACTCTTTCCATCAATATTTTTACCAAAAAAATTTTTTTCAATTAAAATCTCTTTACCCATATTTTTTATTCAATTCATTATTCTCGTTAATGGGGGATCACCCCTAAATATCACCCCCCTAAATATCACCACCCTAAATATCACCACCCAAAATATCACCTGACCCTAAATATCACCACCCAAAATATCGTTGATTCGAACTATTATCCTCATCCCCATCACCGTAAACTTCTAAAAAAATACGAGCCAGTTGTGGAACCGATATACAGACCCCTGAAGTTTGAAAAAGAGATGTAATATGCTCCTTACATATGGTACATGTGGAGGTTTTTGCTGCTACGGAGGCCCCAAGTACGTCCAGAGCAAGGGAGATAGGAATAGGTTTATGTTACGAGCCCAGACCCAACGCCCGTAGACTCCCCGCGAGGCGCGTGCCGCAAAACCCCGCGCGAAGCGCGGGGTTTTGCACAAGCGCCTCGCCGACGCTCCATAGGTTTACGTTGACCATTTTGAACGATATTTTGTGTGGTGATATTTTGGGTCATTTGATATTTTGGGTGGTGATATTTAGGGCCAAGTGATATTTTGGGTGGTGATATTTAGGGGGGGTGATATTTAGGGGTGAAGTCGTTAATGGTTGCGCAATCAATTTTAATTAAAGGTTGTCGAAATGTTGAGTGTTTTCCTTTTGATGTTTTCATTTTTTTATTTTAATTTAAAAAATAATTAAATTATTGGCAAAAAATTTTAA